TTGCCAGCTCCAGGGGGCTAACAGGACATTGCTGTTACAAAGACTTGCCAGCTCCAGGGGGCTAACAGGACATTGCGGTGACAAAGGCTTGCCAGCTGAGAGGGGTAACTGGACATTGTGGTATTAAGAGGACTTACCAGCTCACAAGGCTAACAGACATTGCAAGAGCCCCTTCATACCTCAGCCACCAACTTCCATTTAAGAGAGACAATGACAAATGGATTGATACACAGAGTTCACCAATTTTATAACTTAATAAATCCAAACAGTGCTGAAATCCAGACTTCTTTCCTTTAAAGTGCATATGACACAAAATTTTTTTCTCTTGTTTCTTGTAGTTGGATATCAATAGAAAACATTTCCAAGCCTTAAAAGTACTGGAAAAGTATAAAAAGCATTTTTTTTGCTTTCAAAATATGCGCAATTTGCCTTCAAATTTGTCCTGGTCATTGCGCGGCCAAAATTGCACATGGCGTCACATTGTGTATCCAGATTCTTCGAAGTCAATAAAACTTTCAGAGGAGTCGGACTCAAAGGAATCATTAGAATCACTGGACATCTTTGCCTTCTAATGCACTATCTATCTACTACGAAGTACTGCAGAATTCTCTTAGCGACAACAGACCTTTGTGGCAAAGGTACACAATGTGACGTCATGAATAGCTTCTACGGCAATAAACTAGGTCCCAGTCTCCGGGACAAATTTGAAGGCAAATTGGGCGTATTTTGAAAGCAAAAAAAATGCTTTTTACATTTTCCAGCTCTTTTAAAGCTTTGAAACATTTTCTATAGATATCCAACTACAAGAAACGAGAAAAAAATTTTGTGTCATATGCACTTTAAGAGTGTATTACCATTGTAAGGAAAACATGTATATTAAAACTCACTCTTCTTTTCTTGTCCTCTGCTTGTTTCAGTATTTCTTCTTTGAAGGGAAAAAGGTTTGGAACTCCTGGATCTTTCTTGTGTTCTGAAATTAGGTAATTAATGCATTTTGTGATAAGATTGATAACATTAATCCAAGAGAGTCATTTAGTATGAAGACAGGACTAATAACTGACGTTGGAAAAACTCTGAGCAGCACGTAATTGATTGCACACACTGTAAGCAAGTTTTTCCTGCAGCTAAAAACAATTTCAGGTAACACTAATTTGTCTTATGACTGATCGAAGGACTAATGTATTTGAAATGGTGGATCATACAAATCACTTAGACCTGAAATTCATCCTAAACAAAAATATGTAAAGCAATACAAAGACATATGAGTAGTCATTTTTTCTGACATTTTTATCTGGGTTATTGTGTATCTAGCTCGATCTAAGCCTATTATTAACGGATTTTAAATACTTTTTGTTTTTCCACTAAGTTTGGCCTCTTTCCGTTGTTTCCGAAGGTGCTCCCTGATCTGAAAAGAGAGGTAACACTATTTACTTAGAAAAATTTAATGTCAACTAAGATGACACACTTTATTATTTGTGATGAACTTACCACTACAGCGAAATCCTGTTGAAATGGTTCTTACCATTGATTAATCATTGTCTGGGAGAAGAACAATTTTTTTTATTTTTTCTAATCATGAAACAAATTCATTGATTGACCCAATAAACTAAGTTCACGTCATCATCTTGATACAACAAGAATGCAACTCCCTGCCTTTTTAAAAAATGTTTGAAGTTTCACCGAATGGGAGACTACTGTCGACAACATCACACGATTTTCAGATATCGATTTTTATCGACTGCCCACCCGGAGCAAGGTTTGAATGTCTTGATCTTGACGATTACTGTATCTACCATGGCAGACACCCTTTCATTTCATGTTACTGACTGCACTGCGAGTCAGCTGTACCACTACGATCGTCACATTTCACAAATCTGCAGTCGAATGTCCAAACAAACCTTTCGCTGAATTTTGTATTTCTTGTGGGCTGTCATCCGCTTGCTCTGTTTCTCTAAAAGCAGTTAAAATAAACGTTTCAAATGTAGATGAATGGCAAGAAAAGCCACTTGCTGACATGAAATTTTACAAAACTTACTTGGACGGACCATACTTTATTTAGTTCTCGACCTTTTAGGTAACACTCCACGTGAATCTATCCAAAATGGTGGACTAGTGCGCAGACTCTGAGATGCTGAGTCAAGTTGTGACCTGTGGCTAGCGGGCCACAGGAATATCACATACATACATACATATACATACATACATATAATTTTTGTTAAGGCAGGTCGGTTTGTGGCAACCCAAAGGCTGGTGCAATATAATTATTTCGAATCACTTGTCGTGGTTTTCAAAATTACCTCTATCGCGAAATCGATAAGTACTTTAGGTGCTACACCACTGAACTATAGAAGACTTGTCACAGACTAGGCCGTTAAAGTAGTTCTGTGGTGACAAACTTCCACCATACTGCTTGAATATGTCGAATGGGACCTTTCTGCGCAATGATGATGTGAATGAAAATGGTAAATGTTAACTTCGAGGCTTAAGCGAAAGATGATGTTCTCAGTAAATGATAAAGGAATACTCGGAGAAATAATAATAAAAAAAAAACATTGAAAAGTGCTCTCGATAGTAGTCGAACCTACGACCTTCCGCATACTACTTCAGATGCTCTGAAGCTAAGCTGTGGAAGACTCGTGGTGGGCTAAATCGTGCATCATACACATATAAATCGTGCATCATACATATATAAATCGTGCATCATACATATATAAATCGTTAAGGTAGGTCTAACAAACCTCCGGCGTCCTGTTTTAATAAAAACGTCGAATGTGGGACAGGCGCACACCCCATGCTTAAGATAATAAAAAAACTACAAACGTTTTTCAATAGGAGTCAAACCCACGACCTTCCAATTGATACCTCGGAAGTTCCACCACTAAGTTATTGAAAACTACTGGAGAGCTTGGTCGCTTAATTAGGGCCATGGTGGCTCGTGTCAAGCTAAGCCTTTTGCCTAGGTCCATGTTGACAAGCTTTCTGTAAACTGCAAGGATAGGAATGTCGACTTGTGATGCTTATGCTTTAGTTTAGTTTAGGTATCCTTATTTAGTGGGAAACTGCTATTATTAGCTACGCCGCCTTTATGTTTGTTCTACGTCACCGCTGGACCTACTTTTTACGGACACTCCCCGATATCACCGACTTACTGAAGCCACCTGAGCGTTCGCTAACTGAAATATTGATTCCCGCCATTACAGACTATCCAGTTACTACAGATGATTGCAGGCTTCTTGCACTCCCAGTACGCATGGGGGGACTGGGCCTCGCAAAACCGACACAATTGTCATCTATAGAATACGAGGCATCAGTCACTGTCACAAAAGCCCTGGTGACACGCATTGTGACTCAAGACCATCTACCTCCGGATGCGGCAGACACGCGCTCTGCAAAATTACATGAAGCTAAAAAAATTGAGCTCCTAAAAGAGACACAAGAGTTGGTCAAGAACAGCCTAACATCAAGATCTATGAGAGCGGTAGGGCTAGCATCGGAAAAGGGCGCTTCGAGCTGGCTGACTGTTATACCCATGAAAGATCTGGGTTACAATCTAAGCAAGCGAGAATTTAGAGACGCCATCAAGATTAGATATGGCTGGGAAATCTCCGATCTACCAAAGACCTGCGTATGCGGAGATTTCTTTGATGTTGACCATGCGATGATCTGCAGGAGGGGTGGTTTTGTGATTCAACGTCACAACGAGCTTCGAGATCTAGAAAAGACCTGCGTATGCGGAGATTTCTTTGATGTTGACCATGCGATGATCTGCAGGAGGGGTGGTTTTGTGATTCAACGTCACAAAAAGCTTCGAGATCTAGAAGCTGACCTGCTACGAATAGTATCTAGTGATGTCGAAGTGGAGTCGATTCTTCAGCAGATGACTGGGGAGAGCTTGAATAGGGGTGCGAACAGAACCCCCGACGCCCGTCTCGACAGACACGCCCGAGGTTTCTGGGAGCGACAGAGATCTGCATTCTTTGATGTTCTGGTATGCCGCCCAAATGCAGAATCCTACCGTGAAAAGACTCCCGAGCAAGTTTACAGGCAGTATGAGAGTGAGAAGAAACGTCAGTATGCCAACAGGGTCATGGAGGTCGAACAAGGAACTTTTACGCCTTTAATATTTAGTACAACAGGTGGAATGGGCACAGAATGTAAAATATACCATAAACGTTTAGCTGAGTTAGTATCAGATAAAGAGGGAGAGAGCTATGCAAGCACCATGTCATGGACTAGAGCCAAGGTGTCATTTGCGCTCATTCGTTTAGCTTTGCTATGCCTGAGAGGATCACGAACCATCAGAAGAACCCTCGATATCATCGACTTGGACTTCTCCCTCGACAACACTAGCGCGCCTGTCCAACTTAGTTTTGTGAATTTTGCCAAGTTTTATATATAATTATTTTTTTGTTTCTACCTTTTTGTGAATTTATTAAATCATTATCATTATATTTTAGGGCTAGTGTAATTTTATCTCTTGAATGATAAAGACGCATTTTTATTTTAGCATCGACAATAATAATATTGATGATGATGATGAAAAGGATTAGATTGTAAATAGGATTTTAATTGAAATCGGAACTACTATTAGGTTGTAGTTAATTTTAACTTGCAAATAGTTACTTGCTTTGAGTGTTAATAAAGTTTGATATTATCATCAAAAATTATTATTATTATTATTATTATCATCATTATCATTATGCGCAATGACCATTTAAATGAAGATGGTAGATTTTAAGCTTTTGATTTAAGTGAGGGAAGATGTCATTCGGTTAAAAGCACAGGCAAACTTAAATAAAAAAAAACTTGAAAACTTGAAGTGGTCTCAATAGATCTCGAAGCTACGACCTTCGGAATAGTACTTTGACATTGAGCCAGCTAACAATGAGCCATAGGAGACTCGTAGTGGCAGGCTGGGCCGTCTAAATTGGTGCATGATAACAAACTCCCAGCGCACTGCTTGGATCCTGCATAGAAAATCTCGTGCTGAATACGTCTTCTGTTAGCACGTACAATATACTCGAGGGAAGGTTCGACAATTCTCAAGACTCCTCCAAAGAAATTTAATTCAATGATCCTTGGAGAAAGGCTTTTAAAGAGTTGAACAAATACGATTGCCATAGCATGCGTAATAATCGTTACTAGGCAAACTGTGAATGAGAAACTATGTTCCTACCAAGAGTATTAGATATTTACTGTTCACCGATACATTTGCAACCATTACTTTCCACACATGCAGGCGTGTGTTACTGATATCAGATAATGGATTTCATCGCATCGACTGAAGCTTACTAATGACAAAACGGAATTCGTTGTCACAGGAACAAGGCAACAGTTGTCGAAAGTTAACATTGACTCGCGGTATGTAGGGTCAATGCCTGCGTTACCTCCCGTTTAGACTATTGCAATAGTATTCTTTACGGTCTAGCTGTCATTACATTGAAGCTCCAGCGTGTTAAAAACACTGCTGCCAGGCTTATTTGTAAGATAAGTCGTTTTGATCGCATCTCACCAACCTTAAGGAGACTCCACCTGCTACTTATCACTTATCCGCACTCGGATACCTCAGCGAAATTACTATTTCAAAAGCTGTATTTAGGCATAATCTAAGATCATCTAGTAACCTTTTACTGCAACCACTCACAACAAAAACTCTACGCACACTTGGTGATCGTAGTTTTACCGCGGCTGCACCAGCGCTATGGAATAAATTACCTGATGCAGTCCGCTGTGCAGATAATGTAAAATCGTTTAAAAGACTTCATTTCAAAAGGCTTACGAACTTTAATCGAATTCTGAGTTCACCTAGTTTCATGACTTATATTTTAATTTTAATTTTTATGATGATATTATTGCTGATCGTAAAGCGCGATTGTACTATCATTGCTGATTGAAAGATTGTAAAGCGCGCGAGAGAGCATCTTCCTATGATTCTCGTGCTAGAGAAGTTTAACTTAATTTAATTTCCCAGCATTGTTTGTCTGTTTGCTCGTTTACTATTTTTTTACGTATTGACAAGTTTTAAACGTCATTATAGCTTTCTTCCGCTGAATTAAAATTGAAGTAATTAATAAAAAATGGCTCTACAACATTTCTTCTTGACTAATGAGTAACAGCTCCCGCGTGGGCACTGGAAACTACTTTAGAGTACTTCTGAAGTAATCCCGTGAGCTTTCTGGGTGGTGGTTGCCATCTTGCCTTTCGCTCGCGTAGCACTTCACGTGTGAGTTCCTGAGAAGCAAATTTGTAAAATTTTTGAGAAAAGTGTGCTCTAACCTTGTGTAACAAGAGTTACAAAACGACGATAAAATTTCACTTCACCGGTCAAATAATGAAACGATGCATTTTGGTCACGAGCTTGAGACAAAGAAAAACGCTGAGTCCCAGAGGTGAACCCTTCTTGCGACTAACATCCATGTTTACCCTCTGCGTACAGTCTATTTTACATCTAGTTTGAAATCACTGGTGATCCTTACAATCTCAAATTAAACCAGGTAAACCGTCTGAAGCGCGGGATATGGAGTGAGCAAGTCGCAATTGGTTTTCGTTTTGGATTTGATTAATTGAGAAAATGGCGCAAGTTTTCTGGACCAATCCCAGAGCGAAAGAAAGCAAAACCAAAGCAGACCTGGATTAAACTAAACTCAGTTGAAAACACAGCTCGAAACACAGAGAGCAGAAAAACACTCTACCACATACCACATGCAAGGTTGCATTTTCCTGGTCTATAACTATCATATCACCATCCTCTATCAACCCTATCGGTCCTCCGACCTGAGCTTCAGGTGACACGTGGCCAATCATGATACCATGGGAAGCACCGCTGAAGCGTCCGTCTGTTACTAATGCTACTTTCTTTCCCAGTCCTGCACCAACCAGGGCGCCGCTGGGGACCAGCATTTCTGGCATCCCAGGACTAAACATAAAATAAAATATCTAAAAGTTTCTTGCAAGTTACCTTGCTAACAGGTTCATTTTTTCAAGTTATACAAGATTTCACGCCGAAAAGGGAAAAGTGCACCACGTGACGAAAGAGTTCTATAGTTGAAGTCATCAACCGGAGCCGAAAGATTGTAATTTATAGTCTATCGTGAATTTTACGAACCACAAATAGTTGTGTTGAAATAAATTGATTTTGGAATCAACATATGCCAATCTGAAATTTGCTCACATTGAAGATTGAAGTCTGCTAATACAGTGTAGCAGCCGTGATCCTGTGCGGACCACCTACCTGCCTCGTGGACCTTCATATCGAATGACGAGTACATCGCCAGCTTTGATCTATCAAAGAAATTGGGAAGTTCATTAAATCTTTTAAATTAATTTGTAAGATTATTTTCATATACTAACTTCATCGTACCGTTGTCGCTTCTTCTCAACTGCTAGCAATCATCGCGAGTTTAAGCAAACAACAGCAGCAGCAAACAGAAACAATAACGACAATAATGGACGGACAAAATTACCAGGTGAGTTAGCAAGCCTCGAGGTTTCTTTTTATTGCTTGGTGAATGTCGAAAGTAATACAAGATTGCACAACTCCCTCGACATATTATAAGCAAACCTTATATAATTGCGATGCCAACCTTTAATCTGATCTGTGATTAGTTTGGTTCTGGTTTTACGATACTCAATAAAGAGCTCCTTTACAGATCTGTTGGATGCAGTCACTGACATTGGACTTACTTTTCCCTTCATAACACTTTGAAATGCTTGCTCCTCTCCATCAAACACTACTGCCTGTTTACAAAGAAAGAAAAAAAATAATAGATGAATGTAATCGATGAAATCAAGAAAGAGAGCGAAAGGGAAATGTCTCCAGACTCGGAGTACTACAGCCGTCACCACAAAGGCCATTCAGTAATTAGATATATGTGAGGGATTGGAATCCATTTTACATGTCGTGCTGCTTTCACCAATAAATACAAGCCATCCAAAAGTAAAAAAGATCAAAAGCAACCACAAAAACATGTAAGTTTTTTGCTTCTAGTTTTCCAGCGATTTGGATTATACGCTAGAAAAGGGGAGGTCGCCAGCTGTCTGGCAAAACAGAAATATGTCTGGTTACAACGCCTCCGTATACCATGATCTCTGCATCACTCACCGGACCACGAAATACTCCTGCTATATCCTTTCCACTTAATTTGAGTACAGCGCTCTCAGGGGCTAGATTCCCCTGCAAAATAGATCATAATCCTGATAAATTTCAAATTTTTCTCTTTTTCATTTCATAAATTGCTATAGATACAGTGGTTGTGCAGGCAAGTCGCCATCACTTGCATGTGTCTTCTCAAAACATAGCTATGACTATAAAGTAGAAACATACCTAAGACTCTAAAGTTGAAATGAACACTTAGTATCCATATTGCTTTGTTGAACCTTCGTCAGTAAACGAACAATCGAAAGACCAGAAGGGGAAGCAGAATGGGCTCGTTTTTGTGCTCAGACCTGCACTACTATGGATTTGATGACTTCCGATTTCTTAATATAGCTTTGGGACAGTTACTAGGACTTTTCGAGAGAGAGGTCCCTGGCCGAGCAAGCGTCCTGGGGAGGAGCTTGAATTTATACGGAATTTTGTCCAGGCGGCGGTTCGTAGCTCGGTAAACTAACGAACTAGTAGTAAATTGTGTCTCTTTAAACAATCATATGAGGAGAAACCAAAGTCAGTATTGGTTACATCACCTTTAGAATCAAGATGTGTCTGCCAGCCGCTGCCACTGGAGATGAAATTGGAAATACTATCTCCTACAAGATATGAACGAATAGGAAGATGTAGGCTTATAAAAGTAAACAAAACAAAAAAAAAAGAAAACGAGAAAATCAAATCAACAACAACAACAAAACAGTTGTTCCTGTAGTAGAAACACTATTGAGAGATATAGAATGAAAGCTAAACAGCGAATAAACTAATTGACGAGTCAACAAACCAACCCGCAATATTAACAAATAGACAAGTTAAGATCAATTTGAAAAGGCATAGACACCGTGGCTGGCTGAGCCAGATGTTGAATTCGTCACTGAAGTGCGTTCAAAAAGCAAATTTTTCTCAGCAACATTTAATGCACTTTTCTCTTCGTCTTCAACGATCAAAAGTCCACCACGTGACTTGCACAATACTAAAGTTAATGGTTTGTTCATGCGTAGTACCGTCCAATTATGTTTTCAGCAAATTGTATTCTGTGCATTACGTCGAAAAAGGCAGATCGCTTCCGTGAGTGAGACTTGCTATTTGAGTTTGAAAAACACCTATCAAACTCGGATATCGCAAAATATCAATGATCTCGTGATTTGCCAGTATACCGCAGATCCATTATTTGCCTCAACCTTCCGCCTGACACAGGCGAGGAAGGTTCTACGCACGTAGTGGAAATTAAACATTGTGGTAAGCATTTCAATTGGATTTCAATAATAAATCTTACCAGGGCATTATACGTGCTAAGTAGAAAATGTTGTTGTATGAAGCAAATAATATTCTTTTTAAATTAAACAACTTATAAATCCACTGATGCATAGTCAGCTTACAAGAGCTGGATCTTCGATTTGCGAAATAAACATAACAGCGCCATGTACCTGTTGTCCTATTTCAGAAAGTTGTGGTACATCAGCAAGATTCTCAGCCATTGTTTTCCCACTAACTGTGATTTGATCTCCATGCAGAAAACCATTATTCAGTAATTCCTTCAATACTATCTGCAGCAAAGATGGTTTGGATTATCTCTTACTGTGACGATCGCCGGGTTTTTCCCTTAAGTAACAGATCTGTCATGGCAAATACGCTTCAATTTTTTAAAATAGTTTCATAAGGGAATGCACCGTAAACTAGCAGTGTAAGGTTTAATCTTCGGCAACAATTTGTTTTGCATTTTTTTAAATTAATTCCACTGAAATCTAAACTACAGAACTAATTTTTTATAGTTTTCCTTCCTCCGTCCCTATCATAACCTTGGTACACACACACAGTACTACGCATGCCCTAAAATGATAACAGGAAAATGGAAAGGAAAATAACATAATTATCATAATAATTTATTGTCATTCATAGATCATGGATAAATTTAGGGTATCTTATCGAAGATTGTGCCCAGTACCATGTCTGCGAGAGGAGCTTTTCGGTTGTTTTCTTCTCTCTCCAGTTTTCTCTTTTTAAGTTTAATTTTCAGTAGAGAGATTTCGTTTGTACTGAACACAGGTAGGCACATAAAGATAGGAAGCTACAGGCATAGCTGAGCTCTTTAATGAAAAAACGTTGTATTCATCCCAACAACGTATGAAATATCTGAGTGTTAGCCTGTCATTGACTACTGAACTATGAGCGATGGCACACGATGGCACACAGGTCAAGCAATTGACGACAGCTGAGTTATCGCTAATTTTGGTGTAGCCCGTGTTCTACCGATGGCTATATGATAATTCTTTAATTGACGAAGCTTGTTTGGTCAAGATAACCAGATAAAGGCTTCGTTCTCTTTGGTATTCAAAGGACAGGTAGGGCGCGAAACTTGATTCGGTATTCTGTAGCTCAATCAACTGAATTTCTTCACGAAACACAATAATTTGATCAGCAGGGATTTGCTAAAGCAAAGGCATAGAAAAAACCAGGAAAGATTTATTACTCGACCCCGATGATGACCCCGAAACGTCGAGTAATAAATCTTTCCTGGTTTTTTCTAAACACAATAATTTACTGTATTTGGTGAAGAAACACTGCTTAACAAAATTCCAAATCTTTACTTACCGGTAGACCTCCAATCTTGTCCAAATCAGCCATTTGATACTAGTTAAAACAATGACAACGAAAAAATACAAATCAATTAAATCTCAAACAAAAATCCAATGTTTTTTTTGGCTAATGTGTACTTTTTGGTTTTTCGGCTGTAGGTACCAAACATTTTAGCCGAAAGGTGGAGGTGGACTATACCTACCTTGCCATGTGGTTTAACATTTGCTATCAGTGGAACCTTTCCTCCAATCGTATTGAAATCTTCAATGCAAAATTCTACTTCAGATCTGAATGTTAGAGAGAAAAACAAACTTAAACAGTCTTCAGCAAATGTTTGCAACTTGCGAGTTAGAGAGGTTTAATTCACGGAAAAGTACATCTGTGGGTTAGCCTTGTCGACAAAACTCAGCACTGCTGAAGCAATGTGTCTCCTTGAAATCAATCTTAAACACGCCTAAATTAAGAATAAGTTCAGTTTTCCAACTCTTGAGGCACCACCGTCACCACTTTTCGCCTTACCATTTCACTTTTGATACAAATCAGTGACAAACACCCTTTACTTCACTTGTCCTCCGATCATAGAAGATGTCATCAAATCCCACTTTGAATGAGTAAGAAGCTGCAGTCCTACGAAGTCGTTGAAAGAACTAGAACTCAGCTATTACTACTCTGTGAAATCTTATTTTTTGGAGCCCGCTTAACGTATCAGTCTTTTGCACATAGTCCCACTAAACAAGCAAGTTTTGCGACACAAAAGACTTGATTTGTTGCTGCAAGCCGAATTTCCCATGTGAAAAGTAGTTTAAATAGGAAGACTTTGAACTCAAAAGAAAAATTTAAGGCATCTCCTGTGGACATGGCGCTAGCATTGTCCATGAGGCGACATTGGCATCAAGGTGTAATGAATGATATGTCCCATTCCTCCAAGCCATTAAAAAACACCTTTGTAATAAAGGAAAGAAAACTTACTCATGGGCGAGAGCTAGCAAATGAAGAACTGCATTAGTTGATCCACCTAATGCGTACATGACTGTTACAGCATTTTCGAAAGCCTGAAACAAATGAGAATCAAAACGAAACAGATTAAACGAGACCATACGCTTTGGAAAAACATCACGGCCTATCTCACAATGAAGTACGTTTTCAAAACATTTTTGCTGTGGTTTAATCATTGATTAAGGCGCGAGGGTATTAAGCGTATTAACTGTCAGCGATTTCACGATGATGTCAAATAAATGATCACGATTTTGTACCAGTCCCTAAACCTATTTTAGGTGTATTGGTAATGTTTTCCTCTGATTTTAACTGATTCAAGTTACAAAATCCGAAAGATAAGCACAACAATTTTTGCCTGGGTAACTGGCCATTGTTATCCGAAAGTGCCTTAGCTTATTTCATATATCTCAAGAGGCAGCTGTATCAGGCGAATTACCCTTTTAGCAAACCAAGAATTTAAAACTCCTTAAAAGTGAAGTAGAAGTACTACCCAGTATTTGTAAGACCTAACATAGCTTCATGCCAGAATAGATCTTAGTGCCATAAAGAGATTTAGTGCTCAAAATTAAATCGGAAAGACATGGTCACTCTGATAAAACAAAGCACTACTTCGTCGTTATCAAAGGGTCGGGAGATGGACAAAGCACAATGACAAAGATCACCTTCCTACTCAAAATATTTTTTGCAGTTTTTCCTGATTTCATCATCGAAAACAACGCTTTCACCGCCTCTTTAACTTCCCTCTTCTTTGCTGCTATAACCTGAGAAAACAGAAGACAGTAAGAGAGTAAGTTCTGCGCCTCTGGGTCTGTCTATCTATTAGTCTATAGGAGGGGTAAGTTTCTAAAGAAACTGTGGTGCTGCGTCGGTGGGAGTAACAAGGTAATTTTGGATTTATCAACTTGGTTGACAATGTAAATTGGCCAGCGTAAAGAGTTTCAAAGCTGACGTTTCGAGCGTTAGCTTTTCGTTGGCGGAGAGAAGGGCTGACGCTAGAAACGTCAGAACGTTCGCTCTTCGTCAGAGCGAAGAGCTGACGCTCGAAACGTCAGCTATTAAACTCTCTACGGTGGCCAATTTACATAATCAACTAAGTTGATAAAACCAAAATCATATATTTGTCTGTTGGAAATCACGGTCAAATGACGTAAAGCTGCTCTAACCGGCAGAGAAAAACAAGATCAGAATTAGTGATGCATCTATTTCAGTATAAAGAGATGAATAGACTAATTCAGTTTATTATAAACGTTTACAACCGAAGCCACGCACATTTTCTGTCGCACTTACAGTTTGAGAAACTAACCTTGTTTTCACCATCTACGGCAACACCAGAAGCACTACCTGCAAAATGACGGGAAGAAATATGCAAATAAATACCTAGTCTGTACTATATCACTGGTAAAGTTTAAATTACAAACCGAAGTAAACATGGAGTGAAAAACACTCTTCTTAAGATATGTCTAAAGTGAGTCAGTGGCAAAACTCCTGATCTTGGAAGATTACTTTTTCTTCTTCGCGGTTTTATTGATGTTTGCTAACTCCTTTCAAGTTAAACACAAATTGAGTTCTCTCTGTCTAAAATCACAGCTGGAGTGCAACATTGTTCAGTGACAAGAAAGGCTCCTACCCTGGATGAGAATTTCTGAGATCAAATCAACTCGTTTAGGAATGTAATTTCGCTCAGCAAGTCAAGTTGTTTTGTTATTTGAATGATAACTTTCTTACATCCATTTTAAAATCATTTGTAATCTTAGCAATCTAGTTGGCTCACACAGGCGTGATTTATTCCCAAATCGCACCATTTTAAGTCTCTAAACCGCATCTTTTTCCCAGCCAACGAGAGAGCTTCACTCAGACACAAAAACCAATCAATTTTCAAGCTTGTTAAAGAAATCAATCAGATTGCTGGAAAATGGGAGGTAACTTTTGCAACTTTTTACGAATCAGCTCAACATACAGGATCAGTAAAGTATTTGTACAGACTAAGAAAACTTGTATCGAGCGACTGAATTTGAGATTTCAAAATAAATGTAACGAAGTAGTAATTGAACTTCGTGTCCTGTAATTTTGGTCTAAAATCATAGTTGTGATTTCAAATCAAAATTGCACTGGGCGCTCGTTTGATTTTGAAATCACGCGTATGAATTTAGACCAAATTGAACTCCACTCAGTTCAGTTACCAATCTGAATCATCACAAACCTGGTAATGACAGGCCAAGAGTTTCTACTATAGATGACATGGTGTTGGCTGTGAACATACCGCCTAAAAAATAAAATTCCAAAACACGGAAGCTTCTGACGAATTTAGGTTGTGAAAAAATCGAAAGCAAAGTCGAAAATTACAGCTCAATAGCACTGAAGAGGTAATACCAAAGTCAAACAGGAAAAAGAAACTTAAAAAATGATCTCAGAAAAAGGTCAATGTAGAAGCTAGTTGTCAAAATTGAAGCGGTTACTTTTGAAAGATTATTCTACTCTGCAAACGAAGAGACGGCCTAAAACGAAAGTTTCATAGCTTCACTTTGATAGAACAGGAACAAAAAGCTCTAACAGCGGTCTCCAAGACTTGCCCGTCGTCAAGAAGGAAAAGGAGTCAATGGAAATATTATTAAATTTGCCATCACAAACATAATGCAGTACCACAGGTTCCAGCACCAGGTATTGCGTGACACTCCATATCCTTCAAATCTTCAATGTCCATCAAGCCTGTGCTATAGGAGCCAAGTGCCTGAAAAGAAAAAAACAAAAGCACAGATTTAGATTAATACTCTAATCATTCAAAAACAAAATTAATTTAACTCGCTACAGCACTGAATATTTATTTTACGAATTATTCCATGAGTGCGCATTGCATATTAGATGCTGAGCTCTGCAATAGTTGGTGCATTGCATTTCCATAAAAGGTGACTTGAAATAGGAGCTGATAGCTGGAGTTGAGTGCACCAATCAGTACACTAGAAATGCAACAACACGGGAAATTATGTGTGGTCACCCATCCAAGTAGTAACCTCAGTCAAAAGAGCTTTAAGCTACAGTGAGAAGTAGGAGAACGTGGCTAACAAACATGTGGCTAATTTCAATATCTTACTAGGTCTGCCACGTGCATCTCATATGCATGCAATTATATTTTACCTCAAAAGGACTCCCAGCACTTAGATTTGTATATTTCTTTCCACATCCAGGAAGCATTGTTCCTCCATAAATAACAATACCACACTGTTGGTTGAAAAAATAATTCAAGCCATTTTCACAGCTTTTAAAAAATCTTACAGTGACTTAATTAGCCTTAACCAGTCTCAATCAGAGATATTTTTGATAAAGCATCACGTTTAAGTCTAAACTGGTTATACTTGCAGGTTGACAAAGGAAATGAAATGTTTTTAAGTGCATTTTCCTGATTTCTGAAATAAATGTAGCTGTCTAAGGCCTTTCACCCATAAGTCAATTTAACATAACCATTCCTACTTACTGCATCAAGCCTGGGTAAAGCCATGGTTACCCCAGGAATCGTCTTGTCGCAGCCAGCAAGACAGATCATGCCATCCTAGAAAGGGTAAGCAGATGAAATTAAATAAAAATCAATGCAGCAACCATTTAAATATGTTGATTTTCAGATGAAACACTCGTCTTCTTTTAATAAGTTGTGGTGATCACAATGAGATTGCAGAGAGGGCCACCAGGCCATTTTTAGTCCTATGCATGCCTTGAAAGTTGGTGTAATTAATAATCTCAAGAAAGGCATATAACATATACTCATGTATGACAACAAGTGCATTGTGAAACTGACTATTTTGTTTATCAGTTTCATCTGTAGACTTACAGCTTCCTTTAATTCTTACCCCAGTGTATCCAGCATGGGTTATTTCAATACAATCAGTAATCCAGTCCCTTGATATTAAAGAATACTTCATACCACTTGTTCCCTGGGAAATGAATTCATTTGACTCACAGTTAGGTGTCTATAAGTATTAACTATTACCAATGTTTTCTGATCACAAGGTCCTTGCAAATACACCAGCTGTATATGGACCTTCTCTCACCCCACCCTGAGGTGCTCATATATGTAAAAAAGGAATGCTCTTGAGCAAGCTACCCACACACTAGAGCTTCTCTTAGTTTCTGTAGCAAAAGGTTATCGGGAGTATTGCCTAATGGATGAAATCTTGTGGGAGTGTACCCTTCAGATTTTTGTCACATTTGCCTGTCAGTCTGCTGGCATCTATTGACATTCCTAGCTGGTTTTGTCCAAAAACACAACAAAACGAGCATGTCAGGGCTCAAACCCAGAAGATCTCTCAACTCATAGACTATCAAGCCTAATCTCTGAAACTCTGACACCAAGCTCCAATCTAAAATATTTGTTCCAAGACAACTCTGGCACCAACAGATTTTGTCTCCACATGACAGTCTCATCTTCTACTGATCACTGTAGACAACCTACTTTTAAAAGATTAATTAAGGCCAATCATTTAAAAGGCTTATTACTCCAACACATTTAATCATCTTGTTAGTGCGGCATTCCCATTTATGTTCCTAGATGCATTTTTGTGTTTAGCACATGCATTTTTCTTATTGTTTTTTGCATTCTTTCACTCATGTTGATGTATTAATTCTGTTAGATTTTTTTGTATAATTTTGCTTTGTTTAATTTCATTTTGTATAAGCTTTTTGGTAAAATTCAGCACTAGAGTGTCAGAGTCCTTAAGGTCAATGTCAATTATTTTACAGTGATCAACTCTTAGTTCTCCATCCTTCATGTCCACAAAATAAAACAACGCTTGTAAGTGCTTTTCTTTGTCTGATTGCTTTTCCTCAGTTGTTTACATTTCTATTCCTTATACTTGTATTTTGCAATAACTAGTAATTATTTTCTTTTAAGCAACCGCAATCGACTGTATAATGTACTAAATAAATAAAAGTTAAAGTGCGCATTGAAACCGCCTTTTTTGGCAGTTATACATCTATAATCAGCCATTCACAGCAGATTTTTTACCATAGTCATAGCATCACTTATGACAGGTGTTCAGCATAAGACAGCTTTTCCTGGTCAAAATTATAAAAACAAAGGCCATTAAGGTACAATAAAGAGAATACGAATGACTATTTAACTGTTTTGAAATGGTTTTCATTGATTATGAATATAACCCTACTTTAACCCTATTACTCCCTAAATCTAATTGTTAACTCTTTTCTCTGGCTCTTACACATTTCCTTGTAAAGGAATGACAAGAATTTGGTGTTAGATCAGGATAACAACTTCTACCTAATAAGTCTGAGTATTTTCATTAACTGTTTGCTGGATAATGTGTGGATATCATAGTGAGAAGTTACATGTTTTTCACTTCTGAGAGTTAAAGGGTTTATAAGGACTAAAATCAAAGACTATAGTCCTATGGCTACCAATATAATATGGATTTGCAGGAATTTTATTAAGTCATTAATTGATATCATAATGATCATGAGCACAGATCATATTGCTTAAAGAAATGTTGGTCACATACACATTTTGAAATGAGGTAATAGACAATGACAGTTGAATAGATTTTTCCTAGAAGGGGAACTTCTTAATTCAAGGCATAGGGAAGATGATCTTAAGAAATTTTTTATTTCAGGAGAACAATCTGAGCATGTCTATTCTGACTCAAAAATGATTACAACTTACAAAGCAATTGTTGAGTGTCACTGATAATTGTATGCATACAGGCAGCATCTGTTTTTATTTCTTGGTGTGCAACCAATTGTCAGGTGTAAATGTTTTCATTTCACCCTCAAACACCAGCTTAGACCCAAGTCCATTATTTGCTCTGTTAAATAATTTGAGTGTCATCTCTGTTTCCTCTTCCAAACAGTCACAAATCAACCCTTTCATTTCTAAGATCTTATTAGTAATTCTCCTTACTGCCTACCATACAACTCTTCCCATGTTAGTTGGAGAATTTGGTATTGCATCAGTTAGTAATCCCCTAAATGATATTTTTTCTAAGTATATTCTCATCACTTGCCAGTCTAAATTGTATTGATATTGTTAGGAGAAATTATGTCTTGATCAATCATGGGAGTTAAAGGGTTAAAAAAATCCTAAATGACACATTTGCAAGACAAATTTGGTTTACCTCCTTCTTCTTCCACAGCTTCTATCACATGATCTGCAAGCTCCCTTTAAAGATCACATTTCAATTAAATATCATTAGTCTTAGAAGAATATTTGAATATATTTACTGTTCATTACATATTGATTTACTCTTATTGGTTTACAACTTAAGCATCTTATTTCCCATCTTGTTATTATATCAAGTCTGAGTGAGCCATGGAGTTCTTGCAGCTATAATTTAGGACAGCCTGTGTATTATTCACTAACCTGAAGTGAAAGTTGCATGGTATTACATTGATGTAAGGACAAGCCACTGTTATTAGGGGTTTTACAAAATCTTCATCCTAAGTGATTAAGCAGTCATGAGTAGATTATGGTCAACCATAACAATAAATACATGAATGATACTTTCCCAAAACTTTTTTATCTATTATAAAGCATATGTCCCTTCCCTCTCCCCCTTGGAAAACACGTAAGTAAGCAGAGCACCCTTCTCTAGAACCCCTTCAGATTGTCCACACATATCAAGAGATTTAACTTTTATCAGTATCCAGGTACATTGAATTAATATAGTCTTAAGGTAGTACCTAAAGGAATTATTATTCTGTCTTGTCTCCCTTACAAAAACATTTTGGATGACATTTTGACCAAAAATATACAACTCACAATATATATTTAGGATTCATACTCCCATCTCTGGAGTATGAGTGACAAATTTATAGCTCCAATAGAGGTAAACTGAAAATTGAAATATTTCAAAAGGGTAAGAATTAGAAAAAAATTCACTCCAAGAAGTTTAACTGTGTTTATGAAGTCAATCATCACACAAATGTTCATGATCAAGGGCAGCCAACACCTGAACCACAAAATTCTAGTTTTATTGTTTTTTTTTTTGTCTTAATTTTAAAAGTATAATCTTCGATAGAATTTTGGTTCTTGAACCAGGAAAAAACTAATCATATGGCACTTAAGTTTGAAGCCTTTAAAAATTTCAACCTGCCTTGAATCCAATGGCCCTCATGTGTGCCCTTGCCCCAATCTGAGGACAAACAAAAGGAAAAAAAGGAAACGAAATAATTTGGGTGAAAAAATTTAGTTAAAACCAGTAAGTAAGTAAAGTAAGTAAGTAAGTAAGTAAGTGAGTAAGTAAGAAAGAATACTTTTAAGCATTTTAATTTCTATTATTATATCATTATTTCAATTAGGCTCTTATAAATCTCAGTTTTTTTGCATATATAAATCTCAGTTTTTTTGTATATATATTGATTTCTCCCTGTACATAGCTTTTATTCTTTTGTTAATATCTTTTGTTTGTCAAATTTTGATTGTGCATAGTAGGTCCACATCAGCCCTTCGGCTGCCAAACAATCTCAACCTACTTATCAAATAAAGTTTACTTACTTACTTACTTATTACTACTTCTCAGACACTTCTAATAACAATAAAGTACCATTAACATTCATTTCATAATACAGGTATAAACTAATACAGTGGATGGCAATGAAGACACACTCTGAATGACTTCTACCCTATGCTATTCAGCTCGAAGCAACTTGCATGAGATTTGTGCTGGAAAATATTGTAGTTGTTGTAGGTATAAAAGAGTTAAAATCATCTTTTTGTGCTACATTATCTAAATGTTTAAGTATATACTAAAACAACCATTTACTTCAGTGTCTGGGTCTAGATCTAGTGGTAGATGTATACTGAATATTTACAAGTAAATATCCATGACTACCCACCACTTTGGTAAATAGCTTTAGATATATTATAACACAATGATTTATTTGTACCTTACATGTACCTTTTTAATCCAGCTTGCTTGATCAGTTACGTCTCCAGTGAGAACTTTACTATTGACCTGGTAGAATAGTAAAAACAATATCCCCTGGTTTACATAAATTTTACTTCAAATGTTTTCAAAACTTACTTTAATGCATGGCAGACTCAATACTTAGTCTAATAAAACATACTTGAGTCCATCAATAAAGGTACAATTGGTATCAAATGATGAACTAAATAGGAAATTATTTTCAATGGTATTTCCATTCCTTTCTTTTTTATTTATTTATTTATTACAAATTCGCTCCACAAGAATACACAAACAATTAGTATTAATTACAATTAAGGTTAATAAAAGCCATAAAAGGGAAAATTGTGGAGAAGACAACCAAAAGCGCTGACGCACCATACAAGGGATACTGCCCCCTTGATCTAATTAAAAAAATTTAATATAGCAAAACTATAATATAAAAATAGATGCCCTAATTATCCTTATCCTTAATAAAACTTAAAACATTCTTTCTAAAAGTTTCAATACTATCTGATTCTCTAATGTGATTAGGTAAGCTATTCCATTCACCAAAGATACGGTTAAAAAAAAACTATATTTGAGACCGGTCGTTAGTTCTGCTAAAATTTGGGACAAGGTCGTGTGTGTATCATTTTTGCTCAAATTATAAGCCATGATTCTGTCCTTACAAAATATGAGCTTATTGGAAATATCTATGTCATAATGGCCATTAATTACATCGAACAAAAACGTAACATCCCTAATGAACCTCCTATCAGATAATCGCAACAATTTCAATTTAGATAGTCTAGTACCATAATCATCATCAGACCTAGTGATCCATCTGGTAGCTGTTCACTGAACAGCCTCTAATTTGTCAATGTTACATTTGGTATAAGGGTTCCAAGTTTCACATGAATATTCCAATAAGGGTCTCACAAGACTCCCCCAGAACACTATAGAGCTTCATAGCCAGTGTACAGTCAGCAAATAGTCCACTGATTAAAAGTTGATGGTTGGTTGATGGTCCATAGATAGGTGACGATGGTCAGCTGATTGACATTCAACTGACAATGGTGGAGTATTGCTCATGTGTCAGTCTAATACTGCCTCTCTTTGGACCATCAAAATTAATGACCAACTACTCATTTACCATTGACCGAAAAACAAGGATTGACCCATGACTATACCTGTGATATGCAAATATTGGATGAGGTTGCGCAGGATACCATGAATTATCAATACTAAGGTCTGAGTTATTTGCCAAAGCCCAAGGCAGATAATGTGGACATGAGGTTTGATATTTCAAAAATTGTTTTATTATACATATTTTAAACAATCTGGAAAAGAAGAAACCTCTCTGTCAGTTCACAAAAGTTTGGGACACTTCATGGACAAGGACTTTGGAAACTAGGCTGACTTTGAACCAAAAATGATAACCTAATATTGGCTTCAGATATTGGGTCATTGTGTCACATGCTATTGTTTATCCACTGTACACTCTGGACCAATCAGAGTTTCCATAGTAAGTCTAATGTGTAATAGCGTATGTATTCTGTCTAGAAAAAGCAGATTTGATCTAAATGTGGACCACACTTTACCCATATCTAACATAACAGGTTGGTTAGTCTCAGAAGCTGTCACCCACCCACAGATTTATAGATTGTTCCGTAATCACTTCAGCCAGTATTCCTCCAACAATGTACAGCTATCCTAGCTGTTGTAGCCAACAGAGCTAAGAATTTTATTAAATGGAAGTCAAACCCTTTTCATCTAGTGGGATGGTATACATCATTAAGTTTTTCCGGCGGGGAATTTTCATATTCTAACCTTCCTCCCTCCCCACCACCCCAACCTCTCGACCCCCCTGATGATATCCCCCCTGATGATATCCCAGGGATGGCTGATAGTATGAAAAGAAAATATAGCTTCTTTTAAATCATTTTGTAATTCATCCTGAACAATGTTATCCTAATGTACAACAGGAAAAAAATTTTAAATGAATCACTGCACCTTCTTCGACGACCATGCATTATCAAGGAAAATCAGGGGTGCTTTGTTTGGTAACGAAACGGCTTCCGTTAGGAACCAATGTGCCACTATTCGTGATAAATCAGAATACAGCCTAGCACTTATTTAACGTTTAAAATCACAAACCTTCAGCTGAGTCGCCATTATCACCAATTACTGAGAAACAACCCTGCAAACATATGTTTACAGCACAACGGAAAGAAGCGAATGGCAATCCCGTGACAGAATCGTGACAACTGATCGATGGGAAAAGAAGCACTTGCGTGACTAGAGTCCAAGCCCCTCGTTGGCCTCCGACGAAGGGCTAACGCTCGAAACGTCAGCTTTTGTAATCATTACGGTGGCTAATTTACCATTTCAACTTTGTTGATATATCCAAATGAATTCCTAAATAGCTTACCTGGGTAGGAATTTTAACTCGGAAAAACAATGAGTTTGTTGTCATTTCGCGTCATTACTATGGAGGAAATGAGTTGGAGATGTGTGAGCGTTCCTTCAAATGCTTTAACTTAGTTTGAGTCCCTCTATCAAATTTTGTCACATCACCTAACTTAAGGATGGAAAAAATGTGTGGACCAGACAAAATAAATTATGCTAATTTTTTATCTTTTTTTGTACACTAAATAAAATCGTCAATATTTAGTTTGTGTAAAAAATCTTATCACTATCTGTAAAAGGTCTACAGGACTCCCCAATAATCACTAGTTTCTGCTTGACGAAGATCTCAGCAGCGTGAACCTTTGTCCTTTACAGTGTGATATGCCAACTGCGAACAGCAGATTGGGTCTTTGGGTTTATTCGCTCATCGTGTTGGCTCTTTTGATGCACCGAACCAAGCGATGTCTGATCAGTCATGGGTCTGAATGCTGTAGGGGCTTCCCTCGTGCACAGGCGACGGAGCGGTTTGAAACGTGGAGAACGGGCCCCGCCCTCCACGTTTCAAACCGCTCAAAACTAAAATTTTCCCCCACCCATGCACATAAGTCTCCCTTGCAGCCCTTTCCGGCGTCGTCACGCAAGCGACTGTGGGGGAGTTTTCGCTTGCGTGACGACGCCGGAAAGGGCTGCAAGGGAGACTAATGCACATACGCTAACTCAAATTTCCAAAATGCCCTTCGCGTTCTTCGTTGGCACATGCAAACCTTTTTGTAATCTTTACAGTATTGAGTATCTCCGTAATGGCTTTGTGACTTTCATTTTTTCCAGCACAGTCTAAAATCTTTAAGCTCAGCATTCGATTTGGTACCTACAGACAAAATTAAATCATGTCTAATTTCTTATAGACGCTGTCTAATTTAATGAACACATGCCGGAGCTGTTTAGAAAAAAAGCGCAATGCTGATAAAAGGATTTGTGAAAAGATTACGAAATTTAATATTTTGTCAATTCTTACGCTGCACTAGCAATAATGTCGGCTCCAAAAAGTTGCATCCTTTTCTGGTTAGTTTAGTTTTCTTGTTCTCTAATAACAGAAGTTTGTTTTTCTTCCACGTAAAGTACAAAGATGGAGAAATGAAACACTAAAGCTCAATTTTCTTTCCACTGCCTTTGTTTCTCTTCGCCGTAAATAATATGTGGAAATATACGGACGTAAACGGGGGTTATTGCGTGATAACTGTCCGGTGAATTTGCACCATGTGACGTAAAGTAGCTAATACTGAATCGCGCGAAAATTAATGGATGGGTTTTAATATAATTGCCTATAATATTGCTTAAAAAACTTCCACTGGAAATGCCGTACCATTTCTACACAGTCCAGTACCCTGTCCAACTGCTGAAATCGACTATCAGTATTTTTTTCAGCAAGAAAGTTTCTGGCGATCCAGTTTCCACACCAGCATGTAACGTAAATGAGGCTACTGTCAGAATAGTGTTACCATTCAACTGATCAGACATCGGCCAATTCAGTGCGAAGGCAACTTGAGAAACTAAGCCGCAAAATTGGAATTGATATTCGCTCTTTCTATACAAGCCGGAAGATTAGACACGAGATCAAACCAAAAGAAAAGAGGCCGCTTATTATTAAGCAGCAACGCGATGTGCGATGCAAACTATGTCGGGTACAGTGCTGACACCTCTATCAGCTCGTTGAGGAACACGAAGGATCGCCTTTAATCGGTAATCACATGAAAGAGAAACATGGACAGTCCTAAGTGACGTTTTTTATCGCTAGTTTTTATTCTGAAATGGTTTTTTGTAAACTACTCTTATGACCGTTTCCACGGAAAAAGTCCTTCTGGCAAAATTCGAACGAAGCAAGAACCATTCAGAACACTCGGGTTTACCGCAGGACTTCTTTAATATTTATTCCACTTCTAGCTTGACTTGAGAAAAATAGAAATAAACATATTGCGTAATTGATGAACTTTGTTCATCTTTGTAAAATTCTCCACTACATTCTCTATCTATTTAACCTAATTTTCCCCCACACTGACCGGCAACCGTTCTGAGTTTGGTTTCCGCCCTGGGATCCTTCAAGCCATCAAACGCGCTCAAATTGCCTCAGGTGGTCGCTTTTTTTAAATCAAATTCTGAATCGAAATTGAAACAAAAGAATATGTCAGACTTTCAGTTGTTTCCAAAGATTATCAAGTAATTACCACCTTCCGCAATTAGTGATTAAATTACAACAAAATGAAAATTCACCTGACCAATAATTATTCAAACCAAAATATTTTTAACCTGATTTGGTCGATTCGAAGGAACTCATACTTCAGCTTGTGATAAAAATATAGAGAGATCTAATTATGGAAATTGGTAAGTTATTCCAATAGGTTAAAATAAGAAGATGGTGAACATTTATTCATAAACGTTTGATGTAAATATTTGTTCAGAAACGTTTAGTGGACAAAAGGATTTTCTCAGAAAGGATAACGAAACAAACAAGATTTGACAAGGAACGTTATCAGTGTTAAGATCTTCGGTTGACAACAGTTGTAATCGTGTAGTACTACTGAGTTTCAGAAACATGAAAAATCGAAGATGTTTTCAAAATACTCTAAAACATGTGAAATATTCCCTAAGAAATTGAAACAACACTGAGTGTAACAAGATTAGCAAGGTAAAGTGTAATTCATTCGACAGCGAACTTTCTGTTTTTTAAAACATAATTTCACAAGGGAAGAGGGCACTCTTTAAAAGTTGTATCTCAAATATTTCTAAAATACCGCTTTCTGGATTGCTGGAGATCAAAAGTACTGTACAGAAAATTCAAATTGCAAAGATTTGTAGCGTAACAATTTCTTAAGGGCTACGAGTTTATAATCTATTGAGCCGGTTCTACATATAAACATGCATTCAGTTGTATATTATGTAAGTGTACACCAGATGTCTACTTATACCCCATTTACACCAAAACTTTAACTTTTTTTAAAGTTATTTTGTTAAACACGGTTTAAATTTGTTTTATTCATAGGAGTTGCTCAAACTGACGCCAGTTTTCTACTTCAAATTGAACACATTGAAAATACAAGTTAGCGATTGGTGGAATTCTATGGAAAACTAAGTCTTTCAGCTCTCTGTTTATGATTTTCATTCATTTGAAAGGTTTGAGTTGACATCAGTGTTTTGTTGGTGTAAATAGAGCAAGAATCGAGATACTCTTAAAGAATTATGGGACATTTGACAAATAGTACTCAAAAAATGAATACTCACTAAGGTCAGAGAAACTGAGTTTACATCTGAACACGATTTGTAGAAGTCTCCATTATCAGAGTTAACCTTTTATTTCATTTATTGGAATTGTCGTAAAGGATTTTAGAATTAACGAGAGAAAGTCATTAGTTGTACAACTGCGTTCAGGCAGAGTTCAGTTAGGAGAATGCTAAAAGTTAGAGCTCGGTCATTATCTTTCTGACTTCTCCATACTGTACAGATACGATGTTGCTAATCCCAGGATTCCATAGGACGCTCGGTAGCTATCAATCCAGGATAATGGCTCAGATCGCAAACAAATAAGCACCATTGCCAGAAGAGGTTCCAATGAAACGGGATTAATCAGACTAAACAATGATGCCCGTTGCGTTTCAGAAAAGGAAGCTTCTGAAAATAATTTTCACAGTGAAGGTGACTGCGAAATCGAAAGTGTTGGAGCATCAGCTAATATTACTTCGGAGCCCTCCTTGAAGGAAGAAGAGGGTAAGTAACTTAACCTGACGTTGCGTTTGATTTCCATTCGCTTCCGCATTTTTTCCTTTCTTTTTTATTTTAATTTCAGAGAGGTGTTAAAGAGGCCCAATTATCAGAATAACCTGGCGGGCGTCTGATTGGACCATAGTCCGTTGTCGTGGGTAACTTTGTCGGAGAAAATGCATTTTTGCCCACTTGATTTATGCTAAGAGAAGAAGCACCTCCCGTGTGAGAACGGCGTGGATGCTTATCTTCGATTCTCGCTTGGATAGGAAATCTCAAATTTTATCTCCATTTAGGATGTTGAGTGAGCTGTGATCTTACGTTTAAGACAGGAAATAACTGATTGATACGAAAAAGAAATAATGTTTTCGTCTTAAAGTAGCAATAAGGTAGATCCTCACCTAGATCAGAGAACTTTATTTTCCTGATCAAAAAATTCGAACAAACCATATCCTATAAGGCAACCCCTCGACAACATATCGTGCAAATTTGCTATTGGACTTCCCTATTTTATGTCTTTCTGATATTATCTTTTTTAGGCCAGTTTACAAACTGTTCGAACATGCTGAATCAGCCCTCTGACACAGAGTGTTCAGTTTATTATTGCCACCCAGACAAAAGCCCAAGCAGTGATGGAAAAAACAGATCTACAACCTCCTCAACTGAAAAATTCAGCAGTAAAAGTCTACTTTCACCTTAGTAGATAAACAAACTTGTGGCTTACCATATTTAGTAGAGGGGACCTAACTATGGGCTTACCAAACAAGAAACCAGGTTTGTTAATAGTAGTTCATCTAAACTTATGGTACTTTTTAGAGTCAGATTACATCGTTGGTCTTTACCTTCTTTTTTTTTTTTTTAAAAAGAAGTCATTGTCTTGGTTACTTCTTCGCCTAAACCGTCTTTTTTTTTTTTTTTAAATGTTGTTGATCTTCGTCACAAACCCTCAATACTTGATTAGTGTAAATTTTGAATTAGTGCCGGGGTATCGAATATATATGATTATCCACGATCATTTTCAAAAAATGATGGGAAATGACAGGAAAAAGTGCAAATGCCCTATGACAAAGTCAGCTGCAACGTCAAGATTTTTTTGCTGCACAAGAACATGAAAAAGTAGACGGTAACTTAAATCAGTGAAAACCTAAGATACAGTTACTTAAATAAGCAATTAAAATTGATGGAGGCTGCGAGCAAATCGTTTATGTATGAGCTATTAAGTGGTTATTTTAACAGCAGGAGTAGTAAAAAAAACTTTCTACGCCAGCCAATCAAAGGAGCCCTGCTGCTTACATACGGAATAACGATACCTCCAAACAACTCTCTCGAACAGTAGAACATCTCTTTAGAAGAACCATCACCGGCCTACCTCTGATAACGACGATATATGCACATGAATGTAGAACAGTGCAGCGCTCTATTACCGTGACTGCAATCTGCCGACGTAACGATATATGAAAGACGTCTTTTTTGGAAGTTGTAGAAGAAATGTACAGCGACATTAGCTCGCTTAGCAGTTCTTCCGACGAGAGCGAAAAACACCAACGTGCAACCACGCTGGACACGTATGATTCACGACCAACAACGAAGGGTAAATCCTGTAGCCTTTAAAAAATTTTTTTCGGAGGAAACTTCTTAATGTTTCCTGTTAACTCTTAATTATTTTCTTAACACTGTTCAGGTATCTCTGCTATGAAAATAGCATTTTTTGTGCAAATCAAATGCGTACCTGTGGCTCGAATTTTGAATATGTCCTCGTGAGATTCATTTAAAAGGCGCCAGTCCACGGTCAAGTATTAATCATTTCGTTGCTGAAATCTATATATAGATTATATAATCCGAACCGTTTAAATTTTTTTTGAGGATCACTCAAACTACTTTGTTACTCTATATATAGATTATATAATCCAAACCGTTTAAATTTTTTCGAGGATCATTAATTCAAACTACTTTGTTACTCTAAGATGATTCGACAGAGCCAAATTGTTGCAAGTATCCCGCCTTATATCTTTTAAGTTTTTTTTTCACAGTGTATTTCGAAACACTTTTGTTAGCGCACTAGAAAAGTCTTTAAAATTATCCCTTCAGTAAAGCAGCTGTTGATATGGAACTGAATTGTTTATGTTACAATTGAAGCATAGAATATTACTTTGAATTTCTGCTATTCTCTAGAAGCAGCTGGAGGATTTCATGAAAACAAAAAAAGTTTGATAAAATCAGACTTAAAAATAAAGTATTTTCAATCAAAAAGTCATAATGGTCTTGATAGGATATTATTTTCCTTAAATTCAGATAGTTTTTATGAAAGTTGTTCGAAAAAAGTTATTTTGGGTTATGGAAAAATGTGTAAATGACATAGAGAAAGAAACTCCCCGCGATAAGTCATTGTAACGCGCTTGTTATTCTTATTGAGTTTTGTTTTTAATTATTTAACATGCAACAGAGAAAGATTATTTCAAACATTGAAAATCGCATTGTTTCAATGATTTTGTTTTTGAAATCTCTTGCTTAATATTTAACCAACTACAACCGAGTTTAATCAGAGCGCGGGTTCAATTATTCTAATTACCTTCCTAATATTCAGTAAAAGGGAGACATGTTTCTTCCAGTCAAAACGATGGTGGAAAAAAAAAAGTGTTCCTTTCAGAGAATTGTAGTCATCGATTGAGGCAGATTGTACAAGGTAGGACAATTTTATAAGCCATGCTTCGTCTTAAGTTGAGGTAAAATTGGTTTGTTCGGTTTGAATAAAGACATCACTTAGGGTTTGTCTGTCGAATTTAATACAATTTCAAAAATTTTGATAAAGAGTATTTTCAATTTGAATCGAATTTGCCGAGGAAGTAATCGAGAAACTTTTAATTCCACGAGAAAAATGTGTCAAAGATATCTCTTTTTGCGGTATAATGCCGGTATTTTGATTCCATGGTAACTGATATGTTAGAGTCTAGATATGAAAAGGAAAATCGCTACAAGTTTTGATATCGTTTTCATTCTTATTTGGAGTAACAACTCGATATCGAAGAAAACGCCGAGCGAGATGTCTAATAAAGAAAATACAAAATTGAATAAAATCTGTTTTCCTTTCCTCTTAATCCACAAAGTAAACTCTCTTGTTTTGGTTTTGTTTCCATTTCTTACCTTATTAATATTTTATCAGTTTGGTCATCTGCGCGCACGCTAAATATATTACACTTTATTATATGACAAGGTAGTCTTGAGCTAAATCCGAGCATTTTCATTGGTTCTAAGCCGTATACTTTTGGTCGTAAGAGCGGGAAAATTAAAAATAAACAAGTTTGGTCCGAGTGCCATATCATTTACTACTTACTAACCTCGCTTGCTCGAGCCGTACTGGGAAATACCTGGTCGTTTTCCTACAGATCCCCGCTACGCTCGGTTCGCACTGCCACAACCTTCGGGCCCATGTTTGCCAGTTGGGCCTTCACACTCGGTTAGTAAGAAGTTAATATTACGAGATGAATTCAGAAACCTGACCGAAAAAATTATGGGAGTTGATAGTTTTCTTAGAATCATCATTTATAATCGTAATTAAGCAATAAACAAAATTTTCCCAGTTACGTATTCGAAATATATTGTAAGTTTAAACACTTCTTCCCTCTAAATTAAAGATAAAACATGCCAAGCATTCCCGAATTCAGTTTCCGCAAAAAACTCGACATAAATCCTTATTTTCCTCGATTCCTTGATGTTTTTCGCCGGACAAAATCAGTGCGCAAGGGCTGAGTGGCCGACTAGTTCCAGAAGGTCAAGTTTGAAGATTTCTTGGCTTCATGCATTAAATCCTGATTTAAGTTGAAAGAAAAGAAATTTTTTTCTGCTTTATCAGGTCAAAGGAAATAAATAATAAATACAATTCCTATATCCACCCACAGAGGTGAAGCAGATTCCTTCAGAAAAGAAATATGTATGGTTTCATTGATTTGATTTTTCAAAACTCTTTTTTAAGGTGGAAGAGCAAAGTCAACGCAAAAAGGCGTCTCTAGATTATTAACACAAAGGAAAAAGAAAACCGTGCACCAAACAGCAATGGATCGACTGCTTTATGAAATCGCAGTGAGAACGCAACACAAAGCGAAGAGCATGGAGTTTGAAGCCAAAAACCTGAGTGAAACAGTGGACAACCTGCGTCACGAGAACAGGGCACTGAAACGACTTCAACGATCTCAAAACAGGGAAATTCACGATAGACATGACTTTGTAGATATGGCAAATCTGTCCCTGAAGGGATTTCGTAAAGATGTGAGATTCAGCGAGGAGCATCGTGTTGATGCTGACGCTAGTGTTAGGTGAGCAGTAAAATACTTACAGTGAGGCTTTGGCCTCAATGTCATATCGAGGCCCCACCATAAAACATAGAGGGGGTAAGTTTATGAAGAAACTGTGGTGCTACGTCGGTTGGGGGAATAACAAGGTAATTTGGTTTTATGAACTGAGTTCATAAAACCCAAAAAATCAAATTATTTAGTATAAAACAGTTTAGGCTAAAACCAAGGACAGAAATTTTAGTGATTTTAGTGATTTTAGTGATCATGGCGTCTACTGCGCATACCACGGCATTAATGCGCACATGGAGTCGAATTGTTTCATGAATATAGCAGAGCAAGACATAAAAGTACACTTCTGTAAGAGGTATACCTCTACTTAAAGGGAATCTCACTATTAAAAATTGTGAACTCAATAAGATCGTTTAACTAAAACATACTCTTATAACTCTGATGGAATTCTGAATTCTTCTTCTGCGTTTATTGATTTTGATTAGTACCCCACAACACTGCTTGGCGACCTTTACTCAAAACTTTTTGGCTATCAAATATTATTTAGAATACCACATAGCCAACATTTATTAAAGATATGGGCAATTATTAATGTGAAATCAAACGCTCACTTAGGGGATTGGTAGGTATCATCTCCAATGCTATTTTTCTGGGCATATTTGGAGCTAAATGAGTTTTAAAATCACCCATTGTTCAACGGATTTTCATAACTACAATTTCCATTCCGGACTTTTTCCCAGCATAGAAAATTAATTACTTTACTTACTTACTTACTTTGCAGTAAGCTTATCAACATTTACCTCTCTGCAAAGTTTAGACATCTGTAGAGTAGGTTCAGAGTCACCTTAAAGTTTTGATGATAAAATGAATTATATTTATTAACGGAAAACGAAGAACTCAAAAATTTGCCTCGGTCAAACGTGTGGCTTCGCAACTCAGTTGGAAACAGATCCAAAGTGATATTTGAGTACACGGGTGCAGGTACCGTTCGATGACTAAACCTTTTAGGCTTTTTTTCCTTTAGTTTCTCCAGTAGCTGTGCACTTGTAACGATCTTTGGCGTTATTCATCTGCTGGTTTGAATTTTGATATGCTGATTGCCAATTGATGATAACAAGTGGATACAAACGCTTATGAATCAAAGGCTCCTAAATCGTACATTGATGGCTTTTCTGAGAAGACGAGTAGTTTGCTATGGTAACCTCACAAAAAATCATATGATCACAATTTATTAAACAAGGGAGACAATTTAATTTTCAGAGAGAAAAAAAAGAAATTTGTTGTAATATTTATTTATCAGAGAATAAGGTATTTTGAATAAGGAAAACACTAACTAAATGCTTTCCTCTAACAATAGAAAGAAAACAAAAAAAGTTGTATGGCTTGAGAACGAAAGCAAAAGATATGAGAATCTCCTACAACTTGACTCAAAACTCCCAAGCATAAAAGAATTGGAGCAGAAGATAGAAAAAGCCGACAGGGAACTGGAACTGAAGGATGAAAGGCTGAAGGTGAGAGGAATGTAATTGGTAACAGACCGCGCATGTGTGCTATGTACAGATTCTACTTGAACATCTTCAGCTATAACCTTTAAATTATTCAATTATACACGTGAGAAATATCTTGTTATTTCATTGTTCGGCTTTTACTTAGGAATTACAAACGAAATTCGAACTGGATGACCAAAGAATTGTCCAAGAACAAAAGAAGGAAAAGAAACGTTTCATAAAACTGCAACGCGAGATAGATGAAACTGTTAGAGAGTGCCACGATCTATCTTCCCGAATCAAAGTATGTACAGTGTACTTGATAACTGTCCACTAGTTCTCTTTGTGTAATTTGTATAGGTTTTTCAGTGTTAAGCCTTGATGGAGGGAAATTCGACTTCTCCGAATTACTGTCCTGCTTTCCATTCTCAAGCCATGTTGTCTTATTATCATGGGTTACATTCCCTTGCTCTCTTTCTTGTATCCCCCTTAGCACATATCTGTTTGTCTCTTAGCATTCATGACATCCAAATGAAGATAATTCAGGCTTTATAGACGTATAAGTCACGCCATAAACTCCTGCTGTACATAGCCTCTTAGATGATGAGATTTTTGCAGTAAAACTTAGAAGTTCCTCGTTTATTCTCCTTTCTTCCACGAGTAACAATGATAAATACAATAGTTGCAGTTGATTAGTGAAAATGTCACAAAGTCTCATAGGTTTTATACTGCTTGAGCTCCCATTTTGATAATCACCGGTGTGCTGTCACGCGCATGAATAACAGAACAGATCTCCCGTGTAATATCGTCAGAGAAAGATAAATGAAGAAATGCCTATTCACTGACAAATATTTCCTTTCTTCGCAGACGGCAGAGAGGAAAATTCACAAGACAAATATTTACTGCCGTAAACGAGGACCCTCAACTCAGGCCCTCCCGGCCATCACCTGGTATCCTCCTGCGATTGAACAGTCTCCAACAAATAAAGTAGAAACCTGGCTAAATAAACATTCTGACAGTTCCACATAAAATAGATTTGCTGTACAGAATATCTACCTCATTGTGCATGCTGTGATTGTCAGTTGTCGGTGTCAAGTTTTGTCCAGAAGAATTAATGACTTTTTTGTTCAGTAAGATGTGAATAGAAACGACTAAACATAATTTGAAACTTTTTCTTACAATTATCTTTTTCGAAGGCACCAAAGCAGGATATCTTTGTAGACGTAGGTATAAGTAGTGGCCATTGAATCACACAAAATGTCTGGTGCGATCAGCAAATTTTTCTTTTCCGACCGCGTTATTTTGATCATGTAAGGCATTGCAAAATTTGCGATGTCTAAATTCACTCTAGTCTCCCGGCAGTTTTCATCAGTCACTCACCCGAGAAGAGGAAGACCTGACATTTCTAGGAAGGATAAACTATTAGTCTTAAGACGGAGCCTATAAATAAGTTGTTTCAGTATTTTTAGAATATATTCAGTTTATGAATAAATTTACTATTCATTCTTTGATACTCCATTCCACTTTTATTTTTATTTTTTTCGTGCAAATCCATAACTGACTTTATTTTCTTCCATTTTACGATATTTGCCATACAACGGTCTATTATTTCTAGGTTTAAGGCTGCACAAAGTTTTTATGCTTTCTAGATCATATTTTTCCCTTTAATTTCATGGTTATATGACACAAGACATCTAACGTAAGAATAATGTTCCACACGTTCCGTCTAACCATTACTTGGTGTGAAAAAAGTCTAGAGTAGTTTGCGCCGTGTTGCCACTAGAAATGTCTCGAGCTGTTGCGGTTATTTCTGTTCCTCCAAAATACAGACTGACTTCCAGTTCTCTCTCCAAACCTCTCCACGTCTCAGGAGACTCAACCACAACGCTTCCAATCCTTTTTACTCCAGCTTCGGTGACGAGAAGGGCATTGGGGTTGTCTGCAGCGTAGAAGGAGTATTTGACCAGCTTTTCGTCTGGATACAATGGTCGATAGATACTTTTTACTTGTTGTCCAAGTCTAACGACTTCATTTTCCTTGACAAAGCAGTTGAGCAAATCACTACACATCTCCACGCCATTTGCGACAAACTTCTTTCCATCTGGGTGAACGTCGCGGACAAACTCTCGGCAGCAGTCTGCTCCGTACGTCTTGCAGACGACTCTCTGGATTATTCTGCCTGGATTCTTGCCAAATAAGACAGCACCTTGGACAACAGCCGCACTGGTATCATTAGGAATGACTACACTACACCTTCTGGAAAACTCTGTCGTGATTTCATCCTGCAGGATCAGAGAATTCGCGAATCCTCCAACTAGTAGCATCACAGAGACTTTCGAAAGCCGTGGCTCGGTGAGGAGCAACCTTAAGTGATCCTTCATGGCTTCCAACACTGGCTGAAACTGCCTCACCATAACTCTAGAACTCAAGCAAAGGTACTCATTGTTGAGGATTCTGATTTCACCATTTGCATAGCGTTTTAGAGCCACTGTAACAGCGTCATTGACCCAGGAGACAAAACTGCGTGGCAGGCGGATTCTTGTCTCTTTCTGCTGAACGACCCGGACTCCGCGCTTCTTTATTTCAAAATCGCTCATGAGCTTTAGCCAATCAGAAGGGAATTGTTGGCGATAATCATACATTTTCTGCTGACCAAATATTTGGTCCAAAAGGCTCTTAAACTGCTCATTCACCTTCACGCCCCCATAAGGTCCACCCGTTACTTTGTAGATCTCCTTGATGGTACCATCAATTTGTTTTTCATGCGCTGTCACATCAAGAGTACCACCTAAAAGGAGTTAAGAGTTTTACGGAATACATCTAAATCTTTATTGAATAGGATTTATTACCTTAAAAGAGATATAGTAAAATTTGATGCCACAACCATGAGCAGATTTCACTTTTCTTGTAATTATAATCTTGTCGACTTTAAGACGCAAAGTCCCGTTTCCCTGCAGTTCAGATAATCTTTCAAGGTGAAACTGATGGCTCGTTTGTGAAACTACTCCTTGCTCAGTATAAAAGTATTTCTTTTTTTGCGAAGAGGCAGTGTCGCTGGGAATATTTATCTAGCCAAGGGGCTACTTCTTGTAAGTTATTCCACCCATTGATGTTCTTAGCTCTTAGAAGTACTTCTGCATTTCTTTAACTCGACGAAACAATTAATTTAAAAAGGTTTCTCAGGAATATTAATTATGACGCAGAATATAAAAATCCTTGTTCAGAGAAAGTCTCACCTCCAATGTCGACAACCATATAGTGTACATTGGGCTGGGAGAGCTGCCCTTCAAACGACACAACCCCCATCCTCTCCAGGTATTTTTCTGTGCAGAACAGTGCCGCAGCTTCAGGTTCTAAAGCGATTATCAACTGCTCTGGATTTTCAGATGACCCAAGGCCAGCCTATAAAAAAGTAAGTGACACAGACTAATCATTCGTCCTTGAAATGATGACAGCCGGACAAATTCAACACAATCGAAAATTCGTACCCAATTCTTCACTCGCCAAGAAAACAGATATGAAATCTCATTATATTGCTCACTTCATAGGCTGCTTGACGCATAAACTGCTTCGCCCTCGGAGTCCATATGGCTGGTACGGTCAGAACCCACTGGATATCCCCCATTTTATATCCATCATCTCTTGTCTCTTGCCGAATGATGTTGAGCGCTTGTTCTTTCAGAAACCGGATAGAATGAGCAAACACTTGTTTCGCATGAAAGAGTTTTCCGTTTGCAGCAGCTATCTTGGTGTTAAGATTCAGGCTCTAATTTGACAAAGGGAGACAACGTAAGATAAAAAAAATAGCGCGAGTGCGTTCATTTACATTTATCCATAAAATATATCACTAAGTCGAGTCTAAACTTCTTTGAAATGCCTCATGCTAAATGCAGCTGTATTGATTACTCGACTATTGTTACAGAACTCCGCCAGAATTTTTCGGTCAAACAAGTTAACTCTCTTGACCCCTCAACCTATTTTTTTAAATGTTGTGTTTCCAATATTTTTTCAAATATTGGTTTTGGTAAATTATATCTATGGGGCTTTGTTATTTTCAAATTAAATGCGCAATGTTCCATGCTGTAAAACTCTCAAAGAGGCGCAAATGTTAAAACAAACTAATGATATTGGTAAAGATGGAGGTAAACAACTTGATAATGATGATTATGATGATCCTTATTTCTACAGGTCATCCTGTTATTTATCTGGGCTGTAATGAAAACCACAACAGGATTTAAAAACTAATTAAACCATTCGGTGATGCTCGAAAACTTATAACTCCTGCGGTGGCTTTGTCTGCTGAGACTCGACGAGAAGCATTTAATTGGATTGGACAGAGGGTGCAAGGCCCAGAGCATGGGATGTGCCCTAATCAACTCCTTGAATTTTCCTCATAAAAATAACAATGATGACGATACTAACGATGACGCTGGCGATGATAATGACGACGATGACAATCATAACAATGGAGATAATGACATTAGTAATGAAAAAGAACAGGAAAACAAATCAAGGATCGTAGATGAAATGAAATGATTAAACATATATGATTCGTATAATCTATACGAATCATATGACTCCTACCTCATCATTGTGTAGAAGCATTTTAAAATGCCGAAAAAACATGTATTCCTTTTCCTCAGATAGGTTATTCAGATTTGCGTACTTTTCTTCAGCTTTGTAACCAAACGAGTCAAATGACAAATCTGGTTTAAGAAGCAGACATGTAGGGGTCTTACTAGTTCGGTGCCCCTGTTCATTTTCCCAGTCTCTGTTCATAAAAATCGCATCTTCACCATCGTCTTTGTTGAATGAGAAGGCAAACCCGCTGTAGGTTGTGCCAAAGTCTATTGCCACCGTAGCAAGGAAGGACTTTTCAAGATGTAGGAGTGAGTGGCCAATATCTGTTTGAAAAAAATTGAAATAAAAAATAAGATTCCTCAAATAAATTCTAAGGGTCTAAGTAACTGGGATCAAATTGTTCTTTTTAAAAAAAACCCTTTAATTAAACTGAGAGATTACTGTCTCTAGCGGTTTGGTTTAAGAGGAGGTTGGTAAAGTTAGTCTAAGCTATAGGCAACCACTATCATCACTTTTTGTCAATTCCCATTCAACACTATGCTCTCCGCTCTCATTGGTCGTGAGATGTGTTTATATGGGGGTATGGTGACACAGTTGAGTTCTCAGGTTTGTATAATTGTCTCGAATTCTTTCAACTCAGATTCTTAAATGTTTAGATGAAACTGTCTGAACACGGAAAAGTCCCCTTTTGCTTGAACAGAGGATATGACAAGATGCCATATGAGCTTTCCTTCTTTACTCAGTCAGATTTTGTTGTTATCCGAACTACTGCTTATCTGCAGGTCAGCGCAATTTCCGGTGTAGAGCACTTACAGTGTGGAACAATCTGCCCGTGAGCGTTAGATGTAATGACTCTTTTCTAAGTTTTAAACTAGTTTTAAGGAATATTTTTAGCAGCACTAATTAAGTTTTTAAATATAATCATCCTATGCATTATAATACGACTTTAACTTTTTATTCTTTTCATATATTTTCTTATATTTTAATTAAATTCTGAAAGCTTCAATAGGAAATCTAACAAAGTATTAAAGTATTATTGATCCTTTTCTAGATTCCTCTTTTAAATTGATAAATGATGGAAAAACGTCGCTAAAACTCTCAGATTATCGGATTCAGATGTCTTTGTCTCACAAATTGCTGGGAATGTTTGCAACAAGTTCAAAACAGAATGATCTCATGACAAATTAAGTCAATATTTCATTACCCTGCTTTGGAGTTTGAGTATAGGCTACTCTATTCCGCATATAATCTAAATAGATTAAAAAAATTGACGGACGTTTTTTCCTAGGCATACAAGTGTCGCCGACTACCATGTACTTTCCATATCCCCTATCGGAAAGCAATTTTAGACCTGCTACCTTCCCAGTTCAGAATTAATTACTGGTTAGTAAGCGATTATCCGAGTCCGCATTGTGAGTAGGACGCATTGGAATTTGGGATGCTTGTACACCTTATTCCATCACCGATTTGTTTTCTATTATCACTCTCCTTCATAAATAATTTGGAGTTCTTCAGTGAAATATGTAAAGATGACGCTTCAGATGCTTGTAAATCTCTCCTTTTTAACTTATACGAATCATAAATATTGTAGTAAGACATCAGTTGTAACCGAAAAGCCGAAGTTGGGAGTAACAATAAACGTATGTATGTAAATCTCTTAAAAAAAGTATATCTATAATCTCAGTATGACTTTATATTTTTGGATAAGTGCTTCGTTTTATGATTTAGCCCGGCCTGAAATCTCTCGTTATCCTTTTATTTGGCTTGTGCTGAGTCCTCTTTTGTACCAAGGCTCTTGCCTTTTTTTTTTGTAACATTACCATTTATAAAATATTTTATGACATGCACGGCTGGTCGTTAGCGAAACGCACAAAAGTCTCTGAACCCAAAATCAAGCAAAAGAAAGTATATTGCATCCTAATTTTTCGGTCTGTCTTTTCACAAAAACACAGAGAAGATAAGATGCAAATTATAAATGATTATAAAGCTTAGTTCTTTGTAGCTTGAGATGAGACTTAGGAAATCAAGATATTAGGCAAGTACCACTGGAACCTGCATTGGGCATGCGCACTTTCAGATCTGATCGTTATTATGTTACAAATTGTTTGATGATAACACGGCCGCAAACTTGCCCGACGGAAATTAAATATGATTGATTAAGACTACCTTTTTTTTTTATCAAAGGTAGGTAAGTACATAATCTCGCAATTGGTTTTTTAAATCTGCTTTAGAGGCTGTTTTCTTCTACAGCCGTATCTATAACAAAGCGAAAGTAGCTGAATGCTGTGACTGTTGACACCGAGCTTGTGACAAAATTGCAAGGCGAGAATAAGTTCGCCTACGTATCGTAATGCATGTCAGCTTTACAATCAATCGATAGTTTTCGTCGATCACTGTCAGTAATTATTGCGAGATCAGTGGCTTTATAACCAATGGTCTTAAGAACATTATTTTGTATATTCTGAACCATCGCGAGTGGACATCAGTCGTTGCATCCAATTAAGTATAAGCACAGTGAGTTATGTCTTGTTGCTATGTCACCAAAACCCCAAACTGACCAAACGGTCAGTGAATACTGAAGTTTAAGTTACCTGTCAGAGATAAGGCCATGGCGTTCCGATATCTCCCTTGAATAAAGACTTCTACTTTGAACGCGAAAGCAAATTGTGTGCGATCGCACCAATTCAATGTTATTTCGTCAAAATCGAGGGGAAATTTCCCGGAAATCAAACTGACCTATAGAGGGTCAAAAGAGGAATCGTGTTTTTCTAAACAATAGGGGGTTATCCAATTGAGATATTGGTGAACATAGTTTGATTGTTTACATTTTAAAGTTTTTTCTTTCTCTCTCTCTTTGTAGTTTTTTCTCACAAACTTCATTTTCATGCTCACTGAACTCGACCTTTCAACAAGGCAAACTTGAATAAAAACTTAGAGATTGTGTCATTTACAAGCGTGACAACTTCCGGTTTTCCGCGAAAGGAAATAGCAAGAGCGGAAGCAACTTTTTTCTAGGAACATCTCGTTAAATTTGTACTCCTGGAATGATAACATGGCCGGACGGAGCAGATGGCCGACAAGTGCATGGTATGGAACTCAGAGAGAATCACCGGAGTTCACGAATGAAGTGGAACCACTCGCTACCAACCAAGAGTTCATCCAGAATTTAATAAAGCTTCCTGAGGAGCTCAGACGACTCCAAAGTGAGAACGAGAGACTAAAGAAGGAAGCGAATGAAGCGTCGCGTTCAAGGTAAACAGTATAATAAATACCCTCTGTTTATCGTCTTATACCTCCCTTTGGCCGATGCAGGGTCTGAATTGGAAGCAATTTTTTACTTATACTCATAACTTGGATAGAACCGTGATAAAACACAGGACACTTTCGACTGAACAACGTTGATCTTGCACGAGTAGACTCCGTAAGCAAACAAACGAAATTCCACCGTTTCCTGTCATTTGCTGGGATTTAAGTGAAGGTACCTGAAGGGCGGATAACGCTATCCAACGGATGAGTCACTAAACAGCGAATAACTGTCAACAAAACGTACTGCGCTATCCAACGGTTAGAGATTTGTTCAGTGGAAAGCGTTATCCAACCTTGGAACAACAGGGGCCAGATGTGCAAAAAAAGGAAAACAGCAGCGTTTACGGGGCAATTAAATTACTCAAGAGTTTGAAATCAGGTTCTTGTAATTGGGGCTGTGAATACAACATCCTCGCAACATGCCTGGTAAGTTTTAGATTATGAAATGGAAAATTCTTACTTTTATTTCTCAGGGTAAATTCGCCTAGCCAGGCAACCATTAGTGAGAAATGGTTTAAAGACCAACTGGAAGCCGAGAAACGACAGCTCAGTAGAAAATACAAAGAAAGGTATTTTAAAAGCATTGTAAAACACAAATGAATTTAAAATACATGCACACACTATCTAGGAGAGTGTTTTCATTATCAATGTCATTGATAATGTCACTAAATTCAAAACCCGTTCAACCAGAGATCGTGCATGCAGCTCAGTATATTAAGTTACTGCTAATTGTTAACCCTGTTGTTTACCAATGCAATAGGTTTTTAGAAGAACAGAAAAAATTTCAGCAGCAACTTCAGGCTAACACGGAAACTCTTCAGAAAAACAACAATGAGTTGAATAAGAACCTCAATCAAAGGTAATGCATCTCGAGTGTTCATCGTTTGTTGTTTTCTTCTCTTGAAATTGTTATCATTTTAAAATAAATAGTAGCTGTTAGAAACTTATGCTAATGCTTATAAGACTAATGAAGTTTCATCCATTTAGCAATGACTTCGTTTCAGAGATTTAAGAATACAAGAAGACAGACCAGTATATTTACCGTGACCAACATGTGAAACGAGAATACTCTCAAACTAAGTTATGCTTTCTACTGTTACATATACACATAAAGAAGTTATCGCGAAGCTTAAAATACCCGACGTTTCCTTATAGGTCATTGCTTTTTTTCGTTTAGGATTACCAATGACGGAAAACTTGACGGCAAACTTAACGGAAATTAGATATTTTTCTTCAGGAAACTCTTTTTAACATAATATTGTTAGCCTCATGCAATCCTTACGATCACTATTTCGTAGCTCAAAGGAGAACCAGGATTTGAGGAAAAAATTGAAAGAATATGAGCACCTTCTACAGGAGAGAAGCAGTGTCAGTCACAGATATTCCAGAGACTCTCAGAGGTGAGTGTTTACTTTAATTATGAAAAAAGGATTTACCCAGCTGTGGTAGTTGGGTATCAGACTTCATTGGATAAAAAACAAAAGAGGAGGTTAGGGAGATAAAGTTTGTGGTTAAGGCCGCTAACACCTGTTGGATTCCAAAGTTGCTTGTGAGGCCTGCGTGCTGCTTCATTACATGAGTGGCCGTCAACTGTTTTGTTCTCGCGTTGCTTAAGAAATACAGAAGTACATAAGGTGGGAAAGAAAGGTTTTGCCACAGAAGGTAACTCGATTGAGCGTTTTGCAATGACGGGATAGATCTTGGTTTTTTTAAAAAGTTACGTTTTACACTGTTTCATGTTTATTTTTTATGAAAGGGTTAATTATGAGCAACAAATAATGAAAGCGAGACAAGTCTCCGAAGGATATCGCCGAGAGCTCGACAGATTTAAAGAAAGGTATTGGTAAAAGCTGTTTATGCTATCTTGAATATTTTGTCATTGTCTCAATCGAGCAAAGAATCCCATTAAACAAGGTCCACTTGTAAATGACGGATAATATAAGCGCAATCTGTGAAAGGTAATCAAAGCATTGTAAAAGGTAAATCATATTTTACTTCAAAGAGGATGTTCCAAGAAACCTCAAAGCAAATAACCATCAGCCAGACGACCAAGTTGTCATTTGTTTTGTTTTGCATTTGATTTTGCAATTCTGCATTTGGACCGCCTCCCGGTTAGCTCAATGGATAGAGCGCTGGACTGTTGTGCGGGAGGTCGAGGGTTCGAGCCCCAGCCGGACCAACACTCAGGGTCTTAAAATAATTGAGAAGAATTTGCTACCTTTCTATAACATCAAGAAATGGTTAGATATTCTAGTCTTCTCGGATAGGGACGAATAAATGGAGGTCCCGTCTCCTGCAGGGTTAAGGGCAGGAGACGTTAATTTCCCACACTCGAGATTACTGTGTGATGGATGTCCTCCCCTGGGGTGGGATGGGTGTGTTTATTGGGCCCGCAGTAATCGGCGCAAGCTGTTGCGGTTTCCCTGCCGGTTGGCAAAGCTAAATAAAATAAAATAAAATAAAATAAAATGATTGTTGTTAAAGCTAGAGCAATTTATTCACCCATTCAAAAATATTGCTTATCGTTCATAGACATGCAGCTGTCTCGGAAAGAAGAGTTAGGTCTGATCAGAGAAGAACTGAAAATACGTTGAGTACCAACAGACAGTCTCAGCTGGAGAGCGATTACGTCATCGATTTTAAGGACGGCACACGTGTTGATGCAATAGACGTCATGACAAGCAAATCTGGACGTCGGAGGGGGAGTAACAACACCTCACTGGAGTATGTAAAGTGCTGTAGATCGGCCTGCTTCATATTCGAGGTACAGCCCTTCATCTGTGTCCCACGGGGTGCTTGAATTATGTGTAAATCTAATTCAAAGAGTGAAAATTCAAGCGTATAGAGTGAAGGATCAACGAGGCTTAGCTTGGCATAAACGGTGTGAGTTTCTAAAGAAACTGTGGTGCTGTGTTGGTGGGAGTATAAAAAGATAATTTGCTTTTATAAACTGATTTGATGATGCAAATTGGTCATATTAAAGAGTCGTTTCTGAAGCGGACGTTTCGTGCGCTCGAAACTAGTTCAGCTTTAGAAACTCTTCACGGTGAGCCTAGAGTTGCAGTTAGAGGTATTATGTGACACTCTTGTAGAGTTGTTGTACAGTTGATACTTCTTTATTCCTTGCTTTGATCTTTTAAGGTTACCGTGCACCTTCAGGGGTGTCTCGCGTGCAAGCGATGTAGCGCGTCCGGTTTAAACTGTAGATATCTAAACTCCTATATCAAATTAAAGCTTATAGAACTGACCATACCAAAAAGTTTAAAAAAAATTAATTGTCGAAGTTTTCACTACTTCTAAATGCGAGCGCCCGAATCACCTTTTAAGGGCAACAAGTCAAACGGAATTTGTTCGATTGCTCTCAAATTTTGACAGTAGCTAGTTTTACATTTAAACAACAAAAGAGTGTCTCCGAATTTTTTATTTCTAAATACTTTTTTTTCAAGAGCGATTTTTGTACGATCACTCCACATTTTTTTAATCCTATTTGAAAAATGTTCCGTAACTTTTCACTGAAATTTAATACGTTATCGCTAATTATCGCTTTGGCCCCGGAAACGGAGGAACACATTAAATAAGCGAAAAACAAAATTCGCTTTGACACGTAACGTTCAAAAGGTAATTTGGGCGCTCGCATTTAGAAGTCGTGAAAATTTCGACAATTCATTTTTTTCACAATTTTTTGTATAGTCTGATAGCCAATCCTATAAGCTTTAATTTGATATAAGAGTTTAGATATCTACAGTTTAAACCGGACGCGCTACATCGCTTGCACGCGAGACACCCCTGAAGGTGCACGGTAACCTTAATACAATTTACTACTATCGGGACTAGCTCAACTCTGAGTGAAAATTTTTGTTCACCAAGTTATAAAGGTGACACTTACTAAGCTGCCAATTTTCATGCATCGTCATCGTTTCTATCTTAACTAGCGAATCACGTTAAGTTGCGTGAAATAGCTCATGCATACTAGGTATGTACCTTCGAGTCATTTACGCAATTACAAAATCATTTTCTACCTTAAATTTCTTACATTTCCAGTTTAGTTATGGTAAAACGAAAACAAGATTGGCAATATTAAAATTATGAAGAAGCCATTGCGTAGATCAGAATAGCACTTAAAAAGATAACTAAAACGAGAGTAGCCCTTGAAGTTTGTTACATAACAACTGAATAAACAGCGGATTCAAGGAAGAAGGGGCTTACACAAGTACCACCCCCAGAAAAAACTACGTGTTGTTAACACGAGTCAATTGATTATAAATTCAGTACGGAAGATGAAAAGTACAAGTTGTTTACACTTAAGGTCACCTTAAAGAAAGAGATGCTGAACGTGCTAAAATAAAATTTACTATCAAAGTCTTTTATTAAAATAGTTAGAAGTATTTTCTTGATCGTGGATTTGACATAGCTAACCAGGAGATAACCGATAAACTGAACATCTGCTTTCATGTCAAATTCACAACCGCAACTTTGTTTATTATAATTTTTGTGCTGAATAGCTTGTAGTAATATATTATTTCCACTTATGTTCTTTACATTTAAATAAGTTTAACAACACATTTAATGAAAATTCTTGCTAAATGCCAATTTTGTCTTTAACATTGCTCACCAAACTTAGTAAAACGTGAAACAGTATTCAGAAAGTTTCTAATAAATATGTCTTCCTCTCCGGATCTAGGTAGCCTTTGAAGTTGTTCTCAGGGTGAAAGAGTCCTTCGTCAAATTCACATCCAGTGTAATGGAAACATTGGCCGCTGAGGCTCCTGCGTTGGGGTCAGATACGACATCGTTCCAAAGCAAAGTACGGTTTGTTAGTCATTAATTTTTGTAGTGATGGACTTATAAAGGAATTTCAAGTTGCTTTTTTTTTTATCGAAGTGGGCTTTTTTAACCTAGATCGATAGGACAACCAAGTCTGTTTACTTAGTGGATTTTGAGGCTTCCATACAAGTTTGCGACAACTTCGGAGTAGAGATGGTGGAGGCAATGTGGTCTATTCTTGACACACCCTTCGTGTGTCCCTTCCCAACATCCGAGGAGTATGATAACCGTGAAAATCCTGGTTATTTGAATAAAGTAGTGCTTAGTTCTGAAGGAGGTTAGAGTTTGTATTCCCTTTGAGTGGAAAGCACTCCACTTGCGTACGAAATAAAGAAGATGGATATTTCGTCTATCGCAACTTGGCCAATATCGAGCAGGAAGCGTTTTCAAACCACTGAAGGGCAGTTTTTTTGCCCTCCGCTAGTAATTGTATTGGTGGAGGGAAACTTACACTTACATCGGTGACAGATATTCATATTTCATTGGCTAGCTTTGGAACACGCTGTATAACAATCCAAAAGGCGATGTGCATGCCACTCAGGATGTGATCAATGAGTTGATGATTCTCGTCAAAGAAAGAGCGAAGACACACGATTTGAATTCACTTGTTCAGGTAGATTCAATGCTCTTTATTTGTTCTTAATTGGTTCTTTAAGCTCAACAGTATCTGAATACCCTTCTACCTTTTCTTTGCAATTTTCCAGTTATTTGTTATGACTGATAAAATCATATCAAATTCACAACAAATTAAGAAACAAGTTGAAAACAGACTAATGATTGTTTACTGTCTTAACAAATACCGTCGAAAGTGAATATTTAAAAAGTGGAAATTCTGGATTGATTTTGCTTTGTCATCCATAAACGTTTTAGTTTAATTTTAGTTAGGTCATTAATTTTTTTCTTGTAGTGATTAACTAGTGATTTTCTCGTAGTCATTAACTTGTCGGTAAGTCCCTTCTTAAACCTCTTTAAGCTCCCCACAAAAATATAATCATGTTTGTTCGTTCCGTTCATTTGCAGGACGTGAAAAGATCTATTTCTGAAAAATGGACTCGTCATCAGTTGCAAAGGGGATCTTTTCTCCTTGAATTCGACTTGGATCTCTTGTATAGACTGAATGGCTATATTAAATATTGCACGCAGTTTGCATGGTGTACTATTACACAGGTTCCTCCTCTGAGAATTGACTACAAGACCACTGACTATGACCCAAAAGTCCACGAAGTGAGTCAAGCGTTTAGTCCCTCCGAAGAAAGGAGCCCTTCTCGTCGAGCACTGTACTCAGGGTCACGCAAAATCAAGTGCTATTTGTGGCCTACTTTGTTAGACTGCGATGGAAAAGTTATCAGGAAAGGGGAAGTGTTGTTGCTATAACGTGCTGAACGCTTAGACAGCGGATTGATTTCAAGTTATTCCTAACAAGAGACGAGATTAAACTTGGAATAATTTAATCACATTTTCTTTCTTAAAGGGGTTTTTTCACATCCATCGTCTACGACGTGGAAGTTACTTCAGGTTATTGATAAAAAGTATTGATTCTTTGTGCTCTTTCATTCAGTTAGACCTGAAAAATTTAAATTCAAACCCCAAAAATTCGATCATGTCGTGGTTCAATGAGGTAACATACTTAAGCGGGAGGCAGGCAAGACCAACCATTATTTTTGGTAATATGACACAGCATAGTCTCATCGGTTCAGGTAAATGTAACAAAAGGACCATTGCCGTGTGACTTCGCTTGACATTTCAAAAACCTGAACGAAAGTCACTGTCATAAATAACACACATAGTATTCTCGTCCAAAGCACCCTAAGTGATATCAAAATGCAAGATATTCTCCTGTAAATGGGACCCCCATTTACTCTGCAGAAAAAATGGTTGTCCGAGGATGAGTATAGGAACTGCCTTAATATCGTTTCCTCGGACCATTAGGCCAAGAATTTATTTGCCTGTTCATTTGTCCACGTTTCTAAGAACGAAGACACTTTCGTTACCATTTTGAAAGTCTGCTGACCACCTTCAAGCATGCGCCTCAATGCTAAGGCATGCGTACAATCATCACAAAAATTGTACATGATCAGTGTAACCGTTTATACACGCTAGAGAAAGGACACGGTGCCACTTTCTGTTCTTGCCTCGCCTAGTCTTGAGAATAGAAAGAACAACGTCCCGACGTGATCTCGAAACGAAAAAAGAAATGACAAGGCCAGGCAAACTAAAACATCGGCAAGGCAAGCTAGGCTTTAACTGTTTTCCGATACAATTTATCCTTGCTTTGCAACAAAAAAAAAATCATTTTTGTCAATATTTATCCTTGCCTCGTGTAAATGGGGATTTATTCACCTTTGAGATTGGCTCTGAAATATGTAACTTTTATGCTCTTTCAACTGGTTTACATTATTGCCACTGGATTCTGAGCTGGATATTATCTCTCACTTGGTTCTCGTGCAGTATTAGGATTTTATCGCCATCGGAACGTGGTTTATTTGCAAGGAAAAAAACAACACATTACCCATGTCGGAACGGTAAATTCTTATGACTCCTGGGTTATCAATATGCCACTCTCTAGTTACAACGTTTAGCATTGTTAGAACTCGAACCATATAGCGAAGTAATCTTTAAGATGTTTCGCTGAGCTCTTACCATATTTCTCGTGTAATAACAAGCCAGAATCCAAAGTACGCTGATTTGTTCACAAGGGTGCTGATTTTAGTACTTGTTCTTCCTTCTCTTATCCAGAATAGCAAAGCTTACAGTCCAAAAAATTATATTCTTGAAAACAATCAAAGTTTGTTCCTTAGTCGTTTTTGGAGTACTGCAATCAGCGTGAGAGAGCGTTGTGTTACGGGAGTACTTAAATAGAACTGAAGAAGTTTCTAGAACGCTTAGTCATGCTGACTCATTAAGAACTCTTAATGGAACTTTCTAGAACCCTTAGTCAGCATATTTTGTTATGATGCAACAGTAATGTAATGATACTAAAAATAATTGCATTACGAATCCCCAGAACATTTTGTAAAACATATACAAGGGGTCGCGATCGGTTAAAGTTAGGCCTTTTTCAGTGAGTTAGTGTTGTCGTGAAGAGCCCAGAGGAGCTAGTGTTATTACAGAGCCGGACTACAGAGAGTTGTTGGAGTTATTTACTGTTATTGGAATCGTCAGCCGTGTGGTAGGGTTCCGTTGGAAAAAGTTTAAGTGGATATCGATACGTTACAAGGATCTCTCAGTGAAGAGAACTGTGAGTTGTGCAATAATACACTGAGGTTATAGTTTTTTAGAGGGCTCTAAGTTAAGAAGATAGTTATCATATTAGTATTGGTATCGCTCCGTAGTAAGATTATTCTGTCAGTTAATAAAGTAGTTGAGTTGGTATGAGTTGTTTCTTTCTGGTGGTTGAGAAAATACCGTAACAATAGACATAGTTACAAGAAATTGTTTCGTCAACGGTTGGTTATTTTGCTTTTAGGTACTGAATATTTTGAATTTTTCTCGTGGGGAGAACCTTATGCCACTCTTTTCAAGATTGTTGCTGACCACCGTGCCTTGTTCCACAAGTCTTATGTCGTAGAGGGAATGATATCAAGTGGTACGAACAAGCAATTGGATGTGGCTCCGGGAATTTGTGACGATAGCTAGGTTTCGTACCCAACCTGAAATCTCGCGGAAGGCACAACAATAACTGGGGAACTAGCTTCGTAGAAACGACTCGGGAGCGAGAGCGGGAACTCCGATCCTCACGACTCCCTGGTATAGGCGACCTCTTCAAGCGAGCTTTTACAGACGTCAAGGACGAGACAACCTTTTGGTTCCAGAGTAACTTTTATTCTAGACCAGGCAAACAACTTGCATGAATTCTAGCGTACCCAACTTTGTAATCGAGAAACATTTTCAAAGCACTTACTTAAATATTGAACTGGTGTGAGGTTCTATTGTCCTCTGAATTGACAATATTTGAGTAACATTACAAAAGAACGGAAAAGGTCTCTTTGAAGTCAAATGATTTGTATCTAACTATTCATACGTCGAAATTGGAAGAGCAGATTCAATAAACTTTAGGTCATTAAAAATAGGAAACTTAGACGAGAATTCACAGCTTGGATATTGAAAATATACCCATGGCAATTACAACAGAGCAGCTTATAAAATAAAATGAAGAATACAATTGAAATTATCTGCTTATCAAAGGAAGGTTGGTGTTAAGCTTGATCGTATGAAAGGAAATTGAAGTTACGAGTATAAACTCAGCTGCCAACTACCATGAGAACTAATTTGGCCAGAAAGACCATTAACACTTACAAAATTTCTCTAGAATTGAACAACAAAAGTAGCGAGATGCAGCTAAACAAGTTCAGTTGATTATTCAAAAATTACTGTGGCTTTTTCTACATTTTTAAAACATTACAATGAAAGAAACTCACATGAATTGAAAACGGCTAGAATCCCGAAAACAACGAATAAATATGCTTTAACAACCACGCAGAAAAATCACTAAATTTTCCCGTAACATTCCTCCCACCTTAAATCGAGACCTACTGGTCGAGGAAAACTTCGAGAAACCGTAAGGGTCATAATGACAAATATGATTTAGCATTCTTATAGCAGATAAATTCTTCTTCAGGTTGAATAATATTTACTTCTTAATGCGCTTATGTCCTGTTTCTCACCTTGCATAACCTTCTATTTCCTAAATAGTAACTAACATACGTTTTGAAGGAATTTTAAAGACCCATTTCCAACCGAGATGCCTTGCGCGCCCGGATCATTTTTCATATATGAAAAATACGCTATTTTCCTCGTAGTTGCGGAATCGCTTTGATATCTTCTTCCATCTTACTAATTAGGGCTTTCAAAGTTCCATCTTGAATCATGTGCGAACAACAAACTATCGTCATATCCATATCAGTAAATAGTTTTTAATTCTTACATGTATGACGGTGAAAAACGTCATTTGAAAAGTTGATGCCGCCGAAGAAGCGGTCTAGAGGAAGGCCGAGTCTGCCCGGCTCGGCAAAGGTTATTCGACTTCGAGAGTCTGTGTATGATTTATGGAGGGCAAGGAAAACAACCATGGGTTTCGGTAACACTACAGACAGTGCTTTTGCAGAAATGTTATTGCATTGTTCCTACGATGGAACTAGAGACTCCGGGGAGATTTTTTCGAGGTGAGAATAATTATTTGACTGATTTTTACTTGAGATCCTGAGATATGTATGTAAGCGATCTCATTTGTACAAGTCATTATTCTATAATTGAAATGCGTAACGTAAATCCGTTTTGGATTTAGAGGCACGTACGTATTTTGAACGAGCTCTATGAGCTCCTTGACGCTACGAGGGTAAATAAAGTATTGATTGATTGATTGGCCAATGGTTATTTGTCTATATTTTATTTAGTGTTGAAACCGAACAATTTCCTTCAACATCAAGTAAGCTTTGTACAAGTTTTATACACAGACTCGATTTATGATTTTTCAGTCTCAAATATTTAGCTGCAAATTTGTTTACTGTGTTCTTCACCAAATCTTTATTTTTCTTTTTAATAGTGTTTGTGAATGACTATCAGAATTCGCCATTTAAGAATAGCGCGATTCCAAAACAAAAACAAACGACTGCAAAGGATCTCGGATGGAAATGGGCCTTTAAATAACACATTAGCAATCATCTTGATTCCGTTTAACTTCCTGGTCATCAATTATGTGGTACTCTCTGCTTGTGTCAAAAGTCAGTCAAGGCTTTGAGGATAAATGGTCTTCTTGGGTACATCATGAAACTCAGGTACTTCTACTCCTGGAGGTTCTTCTCGGTATTGATCAAATCCTTCGTCAACTTCTGTTCTACAATCAATTTTGGCTGGCGTATCAGACGGGTTCATCTTTGTGCCAAACCTTCTTTGGTGACACCTGGACGAAGGATGTCAGTGGTTTTTGGATAACGAACTTGAAGTTACTAATTACGTCGGTGTGAAATGTTGCGGACAGGGACCTAGCAACGAAAAATAAATCAAAGAGTGACTGGAGCGCAACTTTCTCGTCCTTCGGATCACAGGGAGACAGATTTCTTTCAGATGGCTTCACAGAACCTTAACTGGTAAAGGCGTGTTCTCTTGCTTCAACATTCTTTTCTCGAGGTGTAAACGATCCCATTGTAGGCACTGAGGTTGAACTTTCTTGGTTCTGTGGATTTTCTGTTTTTGTAATAGTAATAGTGTTGTTATCGAGGTAACTAATGGCTCTGTTGCATTGGAGGAAATTGCGACCAAGAATGACATCATAAGCAAGGTTCTGTACGAGGGAACTGACTTTCCTATAGGTGTAGCGGCAAGATAATTCTTCTTAGTTGTGGGTTGTCATTCGCAGTCTGAACCGCGGAACAAAGAACTTCACCTTAGATCTCCTCCAGAACTTGTTTTATAGCTGAAACGTGTTCACCAGTGGCCACCATTAAATAAACAGATTTTACCCGTAGTAGTCAGGTTGCTGGGGTACTTGTCTATTTCATTTACGAGACGCAACTGGACATGTCTTAACTGATTTGACATTCGCACCTTTCTTGGCTTCTGGTTTGGTTTTCTCGGTGTGACATTACTCTGGTCATTTGTTCGTGTCGCCTTCGTCCTCTGTGATAAATTTGGGCTGTTTGTGGTAGCTTCCTGACTTTCGAGTTGTAGTGCGGTCTCCTTAGTATCTGATTGATTTTCTTCTTCGTTAGTGGAAGTTCTTTCTGATTGACAGTAAGTTGGTTGGGTAGCACAATTTAGGACCTGTCTCTCCCTGTGGAGACCTTCATTAGCTTGGTTACATTTGCAGTAATACCGAATATGGCCACGGCGTCCATATCTATGACATACAGGTTTAGTCTTGAAACTGTACTTCTGCCACTTATCATTGGTCTCCTGTTCAGGCTGTGTACTAAATTTTCTCATAACAAATTTAACCTAAACCTTTTAACTGAAAATATGATTAACTCCTATTATTTCTTTATATGACATGTCACAATGCGTAAAAAGTACTTGGGGTGTTTAATAAAAATTTTTCTTACTGCCACAATATTCTCAGGTTTGTAGTTGTGAAAAATTTAATTTGCTAAAACTACCCAGCTCAACCCGAACTTCTTGTGGTTCTGCAAGAGACGTCTTAGTTCACCGATAAGTAGTCTCTATGATCGACTGAAAAAGTCCAGGTTAGTTTGTGCATTATTCCCACTGGATACGTCCCAGGCTGTGGCAGTTATTTCTGTTCCACCAAAATACATGCAAACTTCAATATCTCGGTCTCTGCCTTTCCAGGTGTCAGGGGTCTGAATACTGATGTTCCCAATCTTAGTTACCTCAGGATCTGTGGTAAACTGAGTATTTGGATTAGTCGTCACGTGAAAGGCAACGGTGACCCTTGTTGAGGTGGATTTAGAAGGGTGATAGATTTTTTTGATTCGCTGTCCAAGTTCTACAACTTCATTTTCTTTAACAAAGCAGCTAAATAAATCTCTGCACTTAAAAATGCCGTCTCTGATTGTTTTCTTCTCTTCCGGATGCACGCCCGATTCAAAGTCACCTAAGCAACGAATGCCATACGTAGTACCCATAACCCTCTCGGTTATTGTGGTAGGCTTCTTGCCAAAGATTACGGCGCCCTGGGCAACTGCAATGCTGGCGTGGTGGGGGACGAGGATTCTGTTCCTTCCGGAAAACTCCTTTCTTATTTCCTCTTGGAGGAATGCCGACTCAGCAAAGCCGCCAACAAGGAGCATTATTTGTACTTTTGATAGCTCTGGCTTTTGCAACAGGTTATTCAAATGTTCCTTGATTTTGTCCACAACAGGGGTGAATAATTTCCTCATCATCCCAGAGCTTAGGGAAAGATATTCGTTACTTTTTATCTTGACTTCTCTCTCTCCATAGCGGTCGATTCCTGTCCCTCTGTTTCGTTTAATCTGCGATACGAAGCTTCTCGGTAATCGAATATTTGTCATCAAGCTGCTGTCAAGTACACGTTTTCCTCGTTTTTTCCCTTCGAACTCATTTATCAAGCAGAGCCAATCAGATGGAAATTGCTCTCTATAGCTTTGAAGCATTGGGGTACCAAACAACTCGTCCAATAGACTTTCAAACTTCTGGTTTACATACATTCCACCGTGAGGACCTCCGGTGACTTTGTAGATCTCCCTAATTCTACCGTCATCTTGAATCTCATGCACTGTTACATCAAGTGTCCCTCCTGAAAAATAAAATAAGCAAGAATCAACTATGATTATGATTAATCCTATTTTTAAATCTTTTACAGTTGCTCCCCTTCTTCTCTTTACTCTTCTATTCTCACTACCATTAGAAGTAAAACTACGACTGTTACTACCACCACCATAAGGTTCTTAAATTTTGGTTTTTAATCCTTATAATTTCAAGATTTTGTTTTTATTCTTTGCACCTTGCTATTTTAGATTTTTTTGGGTGCCATGAGAAACAAAGATAATAACTATCAGAATCAACCTAAACAAAGACCACCTTTGTTCACTTCACTTGTTGCTTGGCCTGTGTATTCAAAATAGGAGTAATTACCTGGTCTATGAAAATCTGAGTGATCGAATCTTTATCCCTAAGCAGTCAATTTTTCTTTCTCCTTAACATAGTTCTCGGTTGAATCACTTTCCCTAAGAAATAATATGTTGATCCAAACGAATCGCAAGGCAAAGCTAATACTATTTCATGTTGTTTCGCCGCTCTTCCAACAGATGAAGTAATGGGTTGTTGAACAGAGGTGCAACTTGTATTTGTGACTTTAAAAGCTCTCTGTGTAGCTTTTTTTTAATCAAGGGTACGTATTTAACCCCCCTTTAGGATCATTAAGGACCACGTAATAGATTTCAACAGCAAAACAAGATATTTGAGAAGTCATCCTTCGATTCCCCTCAAGACGAACCTAATCCAAAATAAGCTTAACAGATTTATTTTGAAATAAAAAATGGTGTGAAATTTGATTTTCTGTTGTCACAAGAAGAGCGACCTTGAATTGTACGGAAAGCCATTATATTTTTTCACGTCTTATGGAGTCTAGCGACCTTGGTCGCAAATTTTATTGATGCGTGCCCAGATTACACAATATCACCCTTCTCACTATAAACGTTTTGAGCTACATGTTTGTACATCTTCACGAGGCCGGTCAAGTTAAAAGTATTTTCGCTTTCAGAAATCGAGAGAGCTGGAGTTTCGAAAAGAAATGATCTTATCTCAACAAAATGCATCTCTTTTAAAGGGAAATTAAAAAGCTAAGCGTTTGGTTTCGGGCAGAACTTGGCAAACGATTTTTTTATTAGCAACTAAGTCAAACTCTTACAGGATTAATTCTTCAACTCGCCTCCAATATCAGCAACAATGTAATGTGTGTTGATTTTGGATAGCACTCCATCAACAGATCTGCAGCCAGATTCTTCTAGAAAATCACTCATATTTTTCTCCATGCAGAAAATTGCCGCTGCTTCTGGTTCCAAAGCAATAATTAATTGATCAGCATTTTCTGGTTTCCCAACACCAGCCTTTTAAAGTAACAAAAGAAAAGATATAAACATGGAAAAAGGTGCAATATCTTAACCTCTTCCGACAAGAAGCGTCGGATGATATTCGTGTAGTTAAAGGTGTATTATAAGGGGAAAACTGGTTCAGAGAATGGTCAAAAAACCAGACCGAAAACAGTCCAACGGTCCAAAGTTCCATTCGTCCAGTCCACAATCACCGCGGCCTCAACTTAAAATAAATACGGATGTTATTCACCCGGCGGGAGGTCCGTATTGGGAAAAACTGCGCCCGAGGTCTTGGATGCCGGCTCTCAAGACTTAAGACTTGACGAAATGCTTTCCAAAAGAACCCAAATGATTTAGGGCTGTAATTTCGGGAAGATCCTCCATATACGGGACATTTTCTGACCGAGTTGATGGTAGAGAAACAGCGGTAATGCAAATTAAATAGAGGCTTCATCAAAACGTTTTTTAAGGGTGACTGAAAAGACTTTCGAGCGAAATTTGAAACATTTTTTTTCTTAGTGTCTGCACTGATCTGACACCAGCGCGTAAGAAAAAAAAAGAAGCACGCGTACACTTCTAAAGAAAGAAACAAACAGAAAAAAACAACAGCTCTGGTTCGTCGAGTAAACCAGAGTTAAATAACTATCACCATGACTTTTCCTTCTTCCCTGAACTTATCGTTCAAGTAAATTATTCCAGTTTCCTTTTGGAAGTAAGCGCAGCTCACCTGTACTATGCTAAAATTGAGGTGTGGCGTCATACGCGAAATTCTGTCTTAAGAGCGTGTCCACGAGAAAAACTGGGCAGAAACGGGCAGGGGTGATAAACCTCAAATCACCGATTTGGCTCAAACCTGGCACAATTGCTAAGTATCTTGAGTTGACAAATTTTTGAAAATAATAGGTCAAAATATTTAATTCCCTGGGAGATATAGGGTCCCCCTGGGAAAACCTCCATTTTCTGCATTTTTTGCATAATCAATTAGCTAACTTTGCATTGCTGCTGTGACAAACAGAAAATCCCTCTGCAAATTCAATGAACTGGGTTGTGTTCTATATGCATCAGACTTCCCTGAAGAAAATTGAATTGTTTTAAATTTTTCATTTCATTTCTTCCCTAGCCTCTCGTAAAGACTTAAGTAAAGACGACTTTTTCTGGTTTTGACAAAGTCCAAAATAAGGGTATTTTAAGGCCCAATATCTCCGATGACCAACTACTTCTGATCATTATTCCTATATGGGTAGTGAAAGCCATCACTGGACTTTCAAAATCAGAAATAAAATGTTGGGGCAATTGATTTCATAACCCGTCCTGACGTGAAATTTACATCTACCTTCTGCTTTTTACTGGTCTGTATCATCAAAATTCCGTGAACCACATATTTGTTTTATTAACTTAAACTAACTTGAAATTTACGAGAAATTTCCCAGAGAGTCATCGTTTAAACATGAACGAGGAGAGAATCTTTGAATAGCGCAAGCTGAGCCCTTTTTGAGAACTTTTTTTCGCAGCCATATTTGGATTATTCTTAAGAAGACGCAGCAGTTGATGATGAACATCAACGACGCATGTAGTTGAACTTTCTGACAAAAGAAATCTAGGAAGAAACTTGGTAGTACATACATGTCTGTGGTGCCTCAGTTTCAAGTTTTGGCTTGATATCATTTGTTAGATAAGTAGCCATTATGTCAACAATCACCAGATTCAATTTGCATCGTTGCCCTGTTGAAATATTGAACAAGGGGAGAGCTCTCGGAAAGACTGATAAAAATTATTGGTCTTTTACGGCGTGATACTTATCGACTTACATGATATGTGTTGGTGGCGAAAAGATAATTTGATGTCCTAAAAGCTGATGTAAATCAAAAGGACAATCCGCCATCTTTGATCAGATCGCGCCTACAATTTTGTTCAGTGATCAACTTTGACATTTATTTGGCGTGTTGTGTTTGTAGTCTACAAAGTTTAAAATGTATCAAAGATTTACGGCTACCAAAATGTTTGACTTGTTATTTGTTAAGCTTGAAATAGTTGCTGGTTCACCGAAAAACAAATAAGCCGTTGATATATTGGTCTCCTCTCAGCGCAAGGAAAAAGAAAATGGTTGAGAACCTGACACGTATATAGAAATCACTTGCATATTGAATAATCCAAATATGGCTGCGAAAAAAAGTTCTCAAAAAGGGCTCAGCTTGCGCTATTCAAAGATTCTCTCCTCGTTCATGTTTAAACGATACTCTCTGGGAAATTTCTCGTAAATTACAAGTTATTTTAAGTTAATGAAACAAAGATGTGGTTTACGGAATTTTGATGATACAGACCAGTAAAAAAGCGGAAGGTAGATGTAAATTTCACGTCAGGACGGGTTATGAAATCAATTGCCCCAACATTTTATTTCTGATTTTGAAAGTCCAGTGATGGCTTTCACTACCCATATAGGAATAATGATCAGAAGTAGTTGGTCATCGGAGATATTGGGCCTTAAAATACCCTTATGTTGGACTTTGTCAAAACTAGAAAAAGTCGTCTTTTCTAACGTCTTTACGAGAGGTAAGGGAAGAAATGAAATGAAAAATTTAAAACAATTCAATTTTCTTCAGTGAAGTCTGATAGATATAGAACACAACCCAGTTCATTGAATTTGTAGACGAATTTTCTGTTTGTCATAGCAGCAATGCAAAGTTAGCTAATTAATTATGCAAAAAATGCAGGAAATGGGGGCTTTCTCAGGGGGACCTTAGTCCCAGAGAATTAGATATTTTGACCTGTTATTTTCACACATTCGTTAACTCATAATACTTAGCATTTTCGCCAAGTTTGAGCCAAATCGGTGATTTGAGGTTATCGGTCCCTGCCTGGTTTTCTCGTGGACACGCTCCTAAATTATCAATACATTTTTCATTCGACGGCTTCCTCGGCGGTGCTGCCCTGACTGCTTAAGGTCCCTAACAAACACATTTGGTGTAACAAAACTCATTTCGAATTCAATTTTAGATAAGTTCTTTATCGACTTATTATTCCTGCCCAGCCGGGAAAACAAAAACATTTAGTTTATAACGAAGCCCACTCTCGGAACCAATTAAGTTGAAGGATTTGTAGAATACCGCCCTCTCACTTTTCGAGAAAAAATAATTTGCATTTATCAGCTTACTAAAGGCTAACTCTCGGAAGATCAGCTTAAAAACTCTTTACGATGGCAAATTTTCGTTATTAACTCAGTGGATAAAAACAATTAATTTGAAGGAATGCCTTGAATTGAGGATCATTATTATGATTCATGACCAACTTCATGAAATCAGATAATATATTGGATATTTTCTTCGGCAATTATAAGGATGCAGATGGCAGGCTCATTTGGTCAGAACGACCTATAAAGAAATGGGCGTGCAAGAATCGAAAATTACCTCATAGGCTGCCTCCCGCATAAACTGCTTTGCTCTCGGGGTCCATATGGCAGGTACAGTCAGGACCCATTGGATTTCATCTGCGTTGAAATGGTTATCTCCGGTTCTCTGACGAATTACTTTAACAGCTTCATCTTTAAGGAAGTTAATGGAACGTGCAAACACTGTCTTGGCTTCGACGGATCGTCCATTGGCTGCCCTTATGACAGTCCTGCTATTCAAAGTCTGAAAACAAGCATGAGTATTCAAGTAAAGCACGTTTCTACAGGTCTTTTATAAAATAGCATTAGACCTTAGTCTGTGCAACATGTTTGCCGGCCATTCGAGTTAATTATAGATCATGACAAACAACTATCCAACAATAAATATTAAAGTTCTTGATTGTTAGGTGTTAATGATCATCGTGGAGAACAATTGCAATATTCAAAAATTAAAAAATAATCCGCAGTTTTAAGTAATCTGAGATGTAAGATGACAAGATAGGAACTGTGAATTGAATGAAAGATCTGCATCGAGGTTGGAATTAATATTTGCCCACTTTGAGAGTGGTGATCTTTTAAGAAAAACTTACCCAAAACGTGGGCTAACAGGTTTGGCTTTCAATCTACAGTCTTTAGAAACTGGGTGCAGAGGAAGAAATGTATGCTAATAATCATATACAGTTCATCTTAGTTTTATCAGCTTTAAAGGCTTCAGACGCAAAGACGAAAGGTTCAGAGTGTTCTGGAAAATTTCGCCTTCCAAATTATGCGATTCACATAGTTTGACACGAAGTTAAATCACTGACCTCGTCACTGTGAAGGGCCATTTTGAAATGTTTAAAAAATAGATACTCTTTCTCTTCGCTCTCATCTCCAAGACTGGAATACTTCTCTATTGCTTCATAACCAAAGGAGTCAAACTCCAAGTCTGGTTTGAGTAGCAGGCATGTTGGTGTTTTGCTTGTTTGAGCGCCTTGTTCATTACCCCAGTCCATATTCATGAAAATGGCGTCCTTTCCTTGGTCTTTGATAAATGAAAAGGCAAATCCACTATAGGTTGTCCCGAAGTCAATGGCAACAACTGCCAGATACGAACGCTTCGGAGAATAGAGAAGCGAGCCTTCAAGTGCTGTGATAGATAAACAAAATACATATCTCTTTAGGCTTAAGAAACATCGAATTACGAGTTAATCGAATTACGATACTCAGTGCATATCTATACATTAAATACTGCCAAAGACTCTTTTGAGATTGTCTTTAAATGTGCAAAAATTATGACCCCGGACGCTTGAATTTTTAACCAAGTCAGTAACCTAGCGGTACACATTACTTAAAATCTACATTGCACAATCCACAGTTGCTTCTTGGTTGATCGCCATAATTACGAAATTCACGAAACAAGCATGTAATGAAATGAGCTCGCTGAGAAGGTAAACCGAAACATGAAAAGTGATTAGACGCACAAACACCTCTGTGAAGGTGTAGTCTGATCGTCCGGGTGAGTGTAGTCCTGAGAAGGACTGTTGTCGGTGGTAGTGACTGACGTTTCGACAACCTGTGCGGAAGTCATTATCAGAGTCAAGTGAATGATTGTTGTCAGTAGAATGTTCTTATTCCAGTTCGTGTGAAATGATCGGTTGGTTTTGCCGTGATGTTATTGGCGTCGCCCACAAACCCATCACCACACTACGTCAGTTACTAACCAACGTTAAAGACAAAGACGAACCGAGGAACAGACAGGGAACGATTTATAAGATCAATTGTTCCGACTGCCAAGCCTCCTACATCGGTGAGACTGGCAGAAACCTCACAACAAGACTGACTGAACACAGACGGGCGACGAGGAAAGGTGATGTCAGCAATCACATTGCTGAACACCATCGACTTACCAACCACAACATTGACTGGGACTCTGCGCAATGCCTAACCTACAGCACTGACTATTTTCAACGACTGACTCTGGAAAGCTGGTTTACTAACTTAGAACAGACTCCCCTAAACAGATGTCAACAACTACCCGCTCCATACAAACGACTCATTCACGACATAAACATCACAAACGACCGAAAAAGAACGACCTAACTTTACCGACAGATCGAAACAGACCAATCACGACCGACTTACGTCACTTGAGTCTTACAGCCAATAACATCACGGCAAAACCAACCGATCATTTCACACGAACTGGAATAAGAACATTCTACTGACAACAATCATTCACTTGACTCTGATGATGACTTCCGCACAGGTTGTCGAAACGTCAGTCACTACCACCGACAACAGTCCTTCTCAGGACTACACTCACCCGGACGATCAGACTACACCTTCACATGTTACCCCCGGGTTCAAACCATTTACTGCACAAACACCTCTATTGCCCGCCATTTCATTTGGTATCTTCCTTTCGCAAAAGGAAGTTCTTCATTAAAAATGTTGCACGAGCTAGAAAAAGACTTTTAAGGTGTTCTGTGTTTCTCCTAACATATCCTTTATTAGTATTTTTACCACAACTGGCAGATATGTCGCAGTCTGATTGGTCAATTTTCCGTCGTCGGCAATAGTACAGACAACGCTGCTCGAATCAGCGTGTCACGCAATTCCTTTATCAGCTCCAAACATGGATGACTCGGAAATTTTTCGGAACTTTAACGTCAACGTTGTGGTAAAAAGCAAATCGACAATGGTGTAGCGTGGTCTGTAGTCTTATTGACAACAATATTCGTCATCACTATGGTCAAAATTTGTTGCGGACTCACACGACTGCGCCTCGTGAGTTTACAACAAGTTGGCCTCGATGATGGCCACGGCAAAGCACGGACAACGGTAAACCAGTGTCGATTTGTGATTTGTAATATACCACACGGGTGAATAATGCTTTTTTCCACGTGCTGATTGGCCTCTTCGGAAGTACTTTGCAAGTACTTTACTTCCGAGTAGCCGAAGAGACAAAATCGCACGTTGAAAATTTAATTTCTGGCCATATTTTGGAATGTTGATGGAAACAAACAAATTTTTTGGTCACTGTGTGGTACATACTAAAACAATTACTCACCTCAGTGTCGGCGAAAGTGGTGGATATTTACCTCGCCGCTTCGCGGCACGGTAAATATCCATCACTATACACCTCCACTTCGGGAATAATTGTTAACTAAGAAATTTAGTTAGTCTTAAACATTAAGACCATTGCCGGTTTCTTTGTACTGTTGAGATCATAACTAGAGTTGAGGCACTCTATTTACTTGATTTAGGACCAAGAATTTTGGCTCTCCTCGAACACAAGCGGAAAGGCGAGAGATCAAACTGAATGAGTAACATAAATCTTCATTGTTACGTACCTAAAACGTTACCTTTGTATGCCATCTAGGTTGCTTCACTCTTCGTTCTCAAAGTCGCTGTGCGTATAAAACGTTTTTGTCGCCTCTTTCGTAATCTGAACGAAAATCTTTGAAAATATCCCTTTCAACAGAAAGTGTTAAGCTTGCTAAAGGAAATTTCCCTACGACAGGGAGCTGTTTCTCAGAAAGAGAAACCTTGATCTTAAAATTGAAAAACGTCTCTTATTGGCTAATGCAGTTTAGGGTCAAGTTGACGTAAGTTTCCCCGATTTCTCAGAAAAGCATTTGAGCCCAAGTGAAAATAACAGTCGTCACTCTTCATTGATTGGTAACGAAAGTTTCCCGTATGCTGTTTACTTCACATCATGCAAGCACGTTTCTAAGAGGTATGAGAACTTATTCGAATTACTTCCAACTTCCGGTTTCATGCAGAGAAAACTTGCAACTCGCAGCTTAAATATTCTTTAAATAGGTTTCTGACTTGTAAAAGTACTCTCCTCATATTGTTTATTATAGAATTAATTGAATTTACATTGAAGTCTGAATGGTCAGAACTGTTTCTCGTAATTAAAGAGATCTACAGAGTGTAAGCGATGCGCGTTTCATAATTAGTGGAAAAGGTTTGTAGTTGAGCGCGTGATCAAAGGTCACGAAAGTCTTAACGCCATAACACACAGTCGACTTTATCACTCTTCATTCACTTCTTCCTTCAAGATGCTCACAGAAAAACCTCCAGCTTAGTCAACTGATGCTGAATAAATAATGGTCTGTTATTTTCTAGTGAACCTAGTAGTCCTATTTGTCACCTTCTCTTTGGTGGCAAAGCTTAGATAACCGGGATCATTATCAATAGCTGGGAACAGACCCTTATATAAAACTACCATGACATTTTATGAAAAACCCCCGTATGTAAATCATCATCGTTACAAAGCGACAATATAGAGGTACAAATATAAAACCCCTGGGTGTCAGGTACGGTTCTGACCTTCACGATCGACGATCGATATCAACATCTGCGCGCAGACCCCCAGATGTAACATTTTACCATCGCAATAAACAACTGGGCACAGGTTTAACAGGGATGTGACATTTTAAGTTCAATATCAACATCTGGGCACAGAATACGCACTGTATGTAAAGAGTTACGATCAACACAGACCCCTAACCGTAAGATACTAAGATTTGTAGCAACATCTGGCTACAGCCCGTCATGTAAGTCACATTGATTAAAACCCATGTTTGTAAGAAACGGCGAATAATATCAACATCTGGGCACAGCCCCTTCGTGTAAGACAAACTGATATAAACCTCTGAACGTAAGGAGCAACGATCAATATCAACATCTGGGCACATCAATCCATATAAAACACACTGATATGAACCCCTGAATGTAAGACCCCTGATTGTAAGAACCCCTGGCTTTAAGACTTCTGATTTTAAGATCCCCACCGTTTTCTCCTTTTTCAAAAGGCCATATAGCACCTTTATGAAATTATCTTCAGCTTATCCTACTCTGAGTTTACAAACTTCAGATTGTATTTGAAGCGTTTCTACAACATACAATGGATATAAATATGAGTCTGAAGTACGTTATGTAACGTTGCCTCTCTATTAGCAGTCCTCAGCCATGTTTGAAAGAGTTAACAATGATTTTCATTCATTTTCTATATCTTTTACAATATCATTGTTACAGCAGGATTCTCTCCCGCACGAAATAATGTAAACTAGTATTGGATCCAAGTGATTTAGCAATCAGTTTTTAGAGGTTCTGTCACTAAGTTGACGGCCGACCAAACTCCAAATTATCAACATGGAGTTCTTCAGGGTATATTTACTTTAAGCTGTCGTTTGAATAGTAGCCGCTCTTCGAACTCCATTTTGCTTCGAAAAGAGGATGACAGCGTCAGTCTTTAAAAATTAGCTACAAAAGGGAATAAGTAATTGAAAGGGAGACCACCGGCCGAGTCTGTAAAACATTTTTGAATATAAATTGTTGAAACACTTCTTTTAAATTTAGTGCAGTTAGGAGAAGTTTTGACATAGTTTGTCAAGTAAGTTCGGCGAATATGGGTTGCATCTGATGAAGAGAAATCCGCTCACCAATTATGGGGGTGCCAAATGCAATAAATTTCAAACTTGCAAGACTTGCAAGAAGAATGTAAATTGTCAATTTGGGCAACTTGATTTAGACATCTCTTTACAGAGGTCAACTTCGAAATTCTCAGCCAAAACTAAACTGAATAAACATGAAGTAAAGAAAAAAAACCTTGTAAGTTTTAACTCTCGGAATACTTTGAAATGCTCAAAGATATCCATCAATTACTGATTGATTGCCAAAAAGTCTAGGCAGACTGTTGATTGTCTATTACTCGTGAGGTTTACCACTGTGACCTTCATTTCCGTTCCACCAAAATACAAATTGATCTCGATGTCTTTAGTTTTCCAAGCTTCGGGCGTCTCGAGCACCAATCCTCTGCCAGGTGTCTTTTCCACGCCGGAATCTGTAACAAACTCCGCATCGGCTCGATCCGATTGATAGAAATCAATTTTGATTTGCTTTTCCGTCCCTGTCAAAGGAGCAAAGCCTGCGAATCTACGTCTTTCTCCAACTTTGACGACTTCGTTGACTTTGACAAACTTGAAGAAGACATCTTTACAGCGTGGGATTCCGTTAACGATCTCCTTCTTTGATTCAGGGTGCAGCCCGTCAAGGAACAATCTGTGTATACGGATGCCGTAAGTCGAAGTCATTATTCTGGATTCAAATATGTGTGGTTTTTGCCCAAACATCACCGCACCTTGGACAACAGCAAGAGATGCGTTCTGCGGTACCATAATTTGATAGCTTTTGTAGAAATGCTTCTTGACCCTCTCCTGGAGCAGCGGCGAATCAGCAAATCCACCAACAAGGAAGACAAATTTAACTTCAGACAATTCCTCTCTTGCGAACAGGTTGGAGAGGTGAGTGATAATTCCATTGAGGACGGGCTCGAATAGTTGTCTCATAATTTGTGGGTCAAGGCAGAGAAATTCGTTCCGCTGAACTTTGATTTCCGACGAGCTGTAACGTTGTTCGATAACTGAATTAATATCCCAGCCTTTATCACTGGAAAATTTACTCACAAAACTTGCTGGCAACCGAATTCTCGTTGTGCCTCCTTCACAGGCTCGTTTTCCACGTTTCTTTACTTCGAAATCATTCATGAGACAAAGCCAATCAACGGGATTATTTTGGGAATATTTCTTAATAAATTTTTCACTAAAAATCGACTCCAAAAGGGCCCTGAATTGTTCATTAACTTTGTCTCCACCGTGAGGACCTCCGGTTGCTTTGTGAAGCTCTCTGATCGTCCCGTTCATTTGAATTTGATGTACTGTGACATCCATGGTTCCTCCTAGAAATATAAATACTAATAAGAAACTAGTAAGGATAACAAGGGGGAAATTCTTGAAGGATGCATAAAGAGGGAGGAGAGGGGGGGGTGGTGGTGGTGAGGGGAAGAGTGAGATAGCTCCACCTAACGAACTAAAACAATGAAATTAAAATAATTATTATACATTGTGGTCACCATCTTTCTTCTCATTGGCTAAACGCCCACAGTTAGTTCTGGGAAACTGCGCAACCTACAGATTATTCACTAATCTGTACCTACAGATTAGTGAATAATCTGTAGGTTGTGCGCGCAATGCATGATATCCGGTGGAGCAATGTCAAGTTCAAGGACAGTGAAGTAAGAATGGCTTCTCTATTCGCTTCATCGACCCAGCGAGAAATTGAGAAATTACTTGAAGATAAAGATTCGGAAAATACTAAAAGATAGACAAAAGTGGCGAAGGAACTGTTCTACGAATACCTTAAAGAGAAAAATATCCAGGAGCCACACGACAAAAAGGAGTTGGCCTAAGTGAAAATTTGTTTACCACACAGTTGTACACTTTTAAGTGTTCGAAAATAAACTGCGTTCGCTGCGATAATGCGTTTAGCGTTATTTTCTTTAAAACAATGTATGATAAAACAATTATTGGATTCGGTTTTTGTGATATCCGGAATAATAAAGGTCTCGGTTAATATTACCAGCCGATTATTCCGGATATCACAAAAACCGAATCCAATAATTGTTTATAATATTTCCCGCGGTAATTTTTCTTTCGTTTTCATCACGCCGTTTTACGCGGTGTTTCATAACTTTGGGAAAACTCAGCTTCATTCCCAAATCAGTGATGGTCCTTAATTATAAACAATAGCGGAAATTCTGCTTTCCAAGGGATATAATTTTTGTCAACCGATGCTTGAGACCAATTTTGTGAGCTGTTTTCTATTGATAACTTGCGCAGTTGTTTAAAATTATTTTCAGACGATATTTTCTTTAAACCTGTTCCCTTTGTATATTTCTTACATATTGTTTAGGTATTCACCTCCAATGTCTACAACCACGTACTTCACATCAGTGTGGGCGATAGTATCAGACACTGACGCTTCGTTGCTCCCACTCTCTGAAACAAAGTCCCTCATCTTTCGTTCTCTGCAGTAAACGGAAGCAGCCTCCGGCTCCAAGGCAATTACTACCTGCTCTGGGTTAGAATGAGAGCCTACACCTGCCTGGTGAAAAATACATTAAACATATAACTATATATGTGCGCCTTCTCTTTTTTCATCTCAAAGGTGATGAACGAGCCACCTCAGATCAAACATTACTTCAGACTTTGAAAGTTGAAAACTATAAAAAAGAAATAGACATACATTTTAACGGCTATTGTTATACTTTTGTATCCAATTGCACTAAAATTTCGAGAACAGTGAAAGTGAACATCCTTTACGGTAACAAGAAGCCCTTCGTAAACATTTCGCACAGCTCGTCAAAAAATATTTAAAGTGCATAGGACACGAAATTTTTTTGTCTTGTTTCTTGTAGTTGGATATCTATAGAAAACGTTTCGAAGCCTTAGAAACGCTGCATAATTTAAAAATCATTTTTTTCGCTTTCCAAATACGCGCAATTTGCCTTCAAATTTGTTCCGATCATCGCGCGGCCAAAATCGCACATGATATCGTAACGTGACGTCACATTGTGTGCGCAGAATTCTTCGAAGTCAATGGAACTTTCAGAAGAGTCGGACTCAAAGGAACCATTAGAATTACTGGACATCTTTGCCTTTCAATACACTATATATCTACTACGAAGTACTGCAGAATCCTCTTAGCGACAACAGACCTTCGCGGCAAAGGTACACAATGTGACGTTACGAATAACTTAGACGGCGATAAACTAGGTTCCAGTCTCCGGGACAAATTTGAAGGCAAATTGCGCGTATTTTGAAAGCAAAAAAAATACTTTTTACATTTTCCAGCCCTTTTAAAGCTTCGAAACGTTTTATGTAGATATCCAACTACAAGAAACAAGACAAAAAATTTCGTGTCATATGTACTTTAAAGGATAGTTAACACGCAAGCCTGGTGCGAAAATTTGCACAGATCTTTGGCCTTGGACCCCATAACTTACACTTTTCCTGGAGCTTCGCTCTTGGAAAACTGTTCGATTATCGGACCAGGTAATCTCCGGGGAAAATATCTGTGCATATTTAGCGTCAAATTGAGACCACACTTTGTAGATATTCATTTATGCAAATTGGAGAAGAGAAAGGTTGTTACAAGATGAAGTAACAGAAATTTTCTTTGAAAAAATGATTCATTGTATATGGTTGCAAATTTTCACAACTGGAGTTTTGAATTTTTGATGATGTAAAAGAGATCTTATATCATGACAAAAGGAAAACACATGTTATTTTATTCATTGCAAGATTTTATTCATTGCAAGATAAAAGAGACTATTAATTCAAGAGCTTACAGCTACTCTAAACGATAATGTCAGCAGTGATAAGCTTTATCTGTATTAGTTTGCATCTTTGTATATGAAAATTTTTTTTCTTTTGTTCATTGTTATGTTAATTAGTTACTCATCTTAAATTTAAACTCAGTCGCCACGTGTATTTTTAACTGTCACTTCTGAAGATGTTTGTCGAAACATACGAAACGTCAAGTAAAGTTTACTAATCTTATTTTCCAACATGCGTTTTACTGTCATGTTTGTAACTGCGGTTTGTGTGCTATTTCTTATCAAGCTACGATGGCCAAAGAGAAAGCATTTTTATTTTATTCAGATTATATTTTGTTTTAAAAATAAAACTGAGTAAGATACCTCGAGGACTGCCTACCTGATAAGCTGCTTCTCTCATAAACTGTTTCGCAGCTGGCTTCCAGATTGCCGGGACTGTCAAGACCCACTGAATGTCACGGGATGTAAAATGTTCATCACCAGTCCTCTCTCTAATAACTTCAAGAGCCCTTGTGTGGAGGTAATGTATTGAATGCGAAAAGATTTCCAGAGCCTTCATGTTTCTCCCATTGCTGGCCTCCAGAGTGCTGTTGAAGTTTAATTGCTGTTCCAAAACAATCGATATTTTAGAATTTGTAAGGAACAACTGTTATAAACCAACCGGCCTAAAAAATACATTAATGAATGACTTTATACAGAAATATCCAGGAGAAAGAAGACTTAAAACTTATCATAGGTATCAATTTAAAATTCCTTATCAAGCTTCCCTCTATCTGGAACTGCGATGTACCTCTGCTCATACGTAACGGCCTGACAATCAATAACTTTAAAAAGAACCACGAGTCATCCTCTATGTGTCTTTGAAGCCACAACCGAAATTATCTCAAACCTATGAGTATGATTACTTTGCGCTGCGAACATTTCACTTATTTTCATATTAATGTGATAATTAGCATTATCATTTCTTTGTTATCGTCTTGCTTGTTACTTTGTTTATACTCAGTGGACTAAATAATTTGTTTTACGGTTTTAAATTAAGTTTTCTTACCATATATTGTGCTTGCAGTTTACTTTTTAGTCTTATTTTTTCTCATATGTAAATATTTCTCTTTTTGTACCTACTAATGTTTAGATGTTGTGTAAGTCCAGAAACTTTCCCCAAGCCCCTCGCGGCTTTCAAAATGGCGGACCATCGTGACTCGTCCTGAGTTCATCGTCGAACGAATTTGATCAGATTTCTTCAGATTCATTTTTCTTTTTTTTCAAGTATAGTTCGATGATTTTTTCAGGGTTTCATCTTTGCATTTCGATATCGTTATCGATTTGAACGTAAAAGCTATGTCGTCAAATGCTTTCAAACGTACGTGTTTTCCCTGAGCAAAAATAATACGTCCTTTGAGGAAGAATGTCAATTCAAAAGAAATTTTCAACCACGTTGCTTTTTTTACTGCGATATTCTACAACCGTAATACAACAGAAGGCACATGTAGTCACAGACTGTCTTTTATTATTCCTTTGCTGACCAAAGTCCATTTAAGCCTCTATCAGTTGGCTTCACTGTTGTGGGAAGAACCACGAAAATGATGAAATAAATTGTATCAATGTTATTGTTGTTGACGGTTACCTGCTCTTGTAAAAAAGCTCACTTCTTGAAACATTTAGTCATAGTTCAGTAGTTATGATTGACTATGATCATTTCGGAGCCAAAGGTCGATAAACTTACCTCGTTGTGATGAAGAGTCATCTTGAACCTCTCAAAATAATAGTACTCCCTTGCTTCCTCTTCTTCTAACTCAGCAAACCTGTCTTGTGCTTCATAGCCAAACGAATTGAAACTCTTGTCTGGATTAAGCAAAAGGCAGGTTGGTGTCTTGAGTGTAGGACACCCTTGATCCGCTCCCCATTCTTTGTTCATATGGATACCTTTCTCGCCTTCTTTGTAGTTGAAGGCGAATGCAAAACCACTGAAGGTTGTGCCAAAGTCGATTGCAACTATTCCAATGTATGTCGTGCTTTGAGAAAGAAACAGATCGCCATCCTCCCGCATGTCTTAAAAGAAAAGCAGAACAAAAAAATTCAGCCTTCGGTGGCGAAGACCTCCTGTTTAATTCCGGCAAGTGTTGTTATTAGTTACAATGAAAGATTGGGTAGTTTTGGTTCTGGGAGCTTAAATAAGAACTTAAAACGATTTACAGCCATATGAGAAACTTAACACTCTGAATAACATCGACTTAGCATGAAAGGAAATGATATTGATGGAGATTTTCAAATGGATAACAAGCTTCGCTTTTCACTGGTATTTAAAATATCACTAACTTACCATCAAAACTTTGTTCCATACTAGATCCTGATTGTGAGTCGTGTTTCGATTTCTTCAAAAATGTGTATATTTAGACTAATACCTCAAAATCAGTGAAAAGAATGCGGCATCAGCTTGGTGAAATCTTTCTTTTGCTTAATTCCCGGAAACCGAAAGTTCAAATCTCTTTGCCGTGTATTTTTACTCTTTCTCGGAAAGATGACGTCATGTCTCTTCATAAATTTTGTCAACTAGGCAAACATCTGTTGTGATCGAGTGCTTTAACCGCTACAGAGTCTAGTCATCGTGAATCAATGTTGGTGAATATCAAAATTCCCAATGATTAGCAAGTTACAATTCGGTGAGTGGAAATATTTCTGCTTAATCATCGACAGACCAGTAGTAATTATGCAAATAATTTTCTCAGAAACTGAAAGGTCGCGGGTTGTTTATTTGACCTACTTTTGCTAATCAAAACCATACCACGTGACATATTTCCGCTTTTTCCCGGAATCATAAATCAAATATTACGAGCCTTTCAGTTGTGTACAATTGTCTGTCTTTGGTTTATGACCAACTTACGAGTGCGAATAAGATTATTTCATCAGTGAAATACGGAAAATGTCAGCCACACAAAGTGAGTTTGAGGATTCAGGAGAGATGAGCGACTGTGAGTTAAAATTTCTACAGTCTCTTTTTGGCGTTCTCCATGAACATCAAAAGGTTTTGCCAGCGTTACCAGAAATGTGCAAAAGGTTAATAACCGCGCAAACAAATATGCCAAAGGAGCCTCATGACAATGGTAATTTTGACTTATTCAGGTATGTGGGTTTCTCATGCTCATTTATCTTTAAAGCTCTGACTGTAAATTTGCAGATACCACGATTTAAGAATAACCCAATGGACAAATAATGATACCTATAATTCAGTTTCCAAAAACCTGCGGTGATCAAAACATCAGAGGTTGTGGATATTGTGTTTGAGAATTTATACTGTCAATTAGTCGAGTTTGAGGTTAGTTTCTATAGGTGGCTATTTAACGATTATTTCAGCCCCCTCACAGGATTCCATATCAGCGCCCCGATTGTCGTTGCGAAAAACCAAGCTCAACTTAAACTAACGTCTCCAACGGTAAAGAAGAGTACGATTGGGGTCTACTTTGTGCCTATGCTTAATTTCCATAATTATGATGGCCCGGATCGCCTCGAGTGCCTCATCTGGCAGCGATCGGCTCAATCTGAGTAATCATGTTAAAATTGGGTCTTCCTAGGTTCAAAATTTGGCCCAGGTACTGTTTAGATAGGAATTTTCCTCTCAGTCATCGGAGAACTGGTAAAGAAACAATAGTTTCTGGCATCTTGTGAACTCATCGGAGGAGCCAGAGGAACCAGAACATCGATGGACATTCAAAGGCATCCGGAAAACCCAAAATATAGCAAAATTTCGGAATAAAATTTGAACAACCAAGAATAACTTATGAGTTTAAATCAAAACTTGAATTGCAGTCCACGTTTAATACTAGAAATCAAGGCCTCCCTAAGCTGGCAAACGTTACAGTCTGCATGTTTCTCGAATTGGCTATTTTGAACCTTTACGGTAGAGATCTCCCAATTGCTCTTCCAGCTGTTTTACGTGAGTTACTCAGACTGTTTGAACTAAGTATAGTTAGTTTTGAGTTGTGGAAACAGACCGTAAGGCTTGTCAGGAATTAGTTTGGAAGAACAAAGGCTCTGATAGTTACGTTGATTGATGTTATTACCTTTTCTAGTGCTTGGTAGCTATTTGTACTGTTTTTGTGTTAGATTTGTACGAGTAATTCACTGTATGGCGAAATGAGAATAAAGATCTGCCAGGTCGGTTATTAAATCTAATTCAAAACAGGTTGAAAGTGGTGACCAGGTAAGAGTCTGAAAGCAAATGAAAAAAAAAGTAGAATCAATGAGCGAAGAATTTTTTTAATAGGGAATATGAGAAAGACATTCTCGCGAAAAGAAAATATGGAGATTTGGTTAATTTAAAGGACCAACTGGCGGAAAAAGAAGAAAGGTAAGCATGCTATTTAAAATGCAAGTCAGAATAATCTTGATAACTCGTGCAAGTTAATTTAAGATGCAAAAGTTGCTATAAAATGCTACTGCTACGTTTAAAAGTATCTTTCGTCGTTCAACCAACTCAAGTTTGATTTTATATATGAAGCCGCGACGTCACGCAACTTGGAAAGAAAAACAGAATGCATTGATGGATTACTAGATCTGAAATTAGAAATCATGCAGAGATTGGCATAATTTTAACAGCTGCGTGACAAAGTGCTTTTATTTGATAATGATAAAACAAACAACGAAAAACAGGCTCTTGACACTAAATTCAGTTTCTTTCTTTTTTTTTTTTTTTTGCACAATTCAGTTTATTTCTTTTTGTTGGTACATGCCTGCACGGCCTCAAAAGTGGTCAACAACATGAGAAAATATCTTTTGCTTATTTTCTTCAGAATTGCTATCCTGAAAGATGAAATGAAGAAAGAAAAGGAGAGTTTGGAAAAAATGTAAGCTTAAATGAACATTTCATTTTTTACTTCATCCTTTTTAACTCGTAAATTGCGCGCATGCGTAAGAGCGAGTTGTAGATATAATGTGAAGAATACGTATGATGTACGATCCTCGCAGTAGATAGCGCTATTTATGCAATAGCGAAAATCAGACCTGAAAAAAGAATCAGGCCTGTACGGGACTCGAACCACTGACCTCTACGATACTAGTGCAGCGCTCTACCAATTGAGCTAACAAGCCAACTGGGAGCAGGCCGTTAAGTTGATTCGTAATAAACCCGTGAAAGTGATAAATGAGATACAATGAA